TATATATATATATAGTTTTTTTTGGCTGTGTTGGGTCTTCATTGCTGCATGCAGGCTTTCTCTAGTTGCGGCGAGTGGGAGCTACTTTTCGTTGCCGTGCGCGGGCTTCTCATTGCGGTGGCTTCTCTTGTTGCAGAGCACGGACTCTAGGCACGTGGGCTTCAGTAGTTGTGGCTCGTGGGCTCAGTAGTTGTGGCTCATGGGCTCTAGAGCACAGGCTCAGTAGTTGTGGCGCATGGGCTTAGTTGCTCCGTAGCATGTGGGGTCTTCCCAGACCAGGGCTCAAACCCATGTGCCCTGCATTGGCAGGAGGATTCTTAACCACTGCACCACCAGGGAAGTCCGGGCTTCTTTGTTTTTATGCCACTTATCACCATCTGATATATTTATTTGTCCCTCCACACCCCCACTAAAAAGATCCACAAAGCATGGGATTAACAGATACACACTACCATATACAAAATAGATAAGCAACAAGGATTTACTGTATAGCATAGGGAACTATATTCAATATCTTGTAATAACCTATAATGGAAAAGATTTCAAAAAGAATGTATATATATCTTAAATGTATATATATTTTAACAGAATGTATATATATTTGGTTATATATATATTTTAAAAGAATATATATATATATTTGGTCAAAAATATATATGTGTGTATATATATATATATATATATATATATATATAACCAAATCACTTTGCTGTACACCTGAAACTAACACAGTATTGTAAATCAACTATACTTCAATTTAAAAAAACCTCTGCAAGATGGAACTCGGTCTGTTCATTGCTGTATACCCAGACTCCAGAGCAGTGCCTGCCTCTTAGTAGGTATTCAATAAGTGTTTTTTGATTGAATGAGCAATTTTTACCCCAGAGATACTCCCTCAATCACATTTATCTCAGAAGTACAGAGCACGCTCTCTTTAAAGGGTTCAGGCTTTGGGAATCCTAAAACGAGAGACAGGGGCTGTTATATTCCAAATTAGGTTTTGTTAGTGTCACGATTTGTTAAAATGGTGACAAAACTTAGGATGACCCACTTGTCTCGGTTTGCCCAGAATTTTCCTGGTTTTAGCCTTGAAAGTTGTATCTTAGTAAACCTCTTCTTTAATAAACCACTTGTATCTTAGTAAACCTCTCAGTCCCTGCCAACCTGAGATGATCAGCCATCCCACATCATAATCGGTCAGTATCCTGTGTAATTTGAAATATTTGACACTTCACTTCAGGATTATAATTTAGGATATTCATCCAAGTTTTATTGAGCACCTCTATGTGGCGAACAACGATGAAGCCCCTTCTCCCATGGAGCTTACAATCCATGTTGGTGGGAGGGAGGGTCGGGCAGGGAGCAGGTAATAGGCAACTAACATGTTTCAAATAGTGTTCATACTAAGAAGAAAATAAAAGGCGGTAATGGAACAGAGCGTGCCTGAAGGTTGTTCAGGACTGTCACTCAAATGATGAGCAGAAAGCAGTCAGGCAGTGGCCGGAACAATGGGACATGAGCCCTAAAGCAGGTACCTGTGTGCACACCTGTGTCCTAGACAAAGGGGAAAGTGGCAAGAAGTGAAGCAGGGGAGTTGGTAGCAGGCGGACACATGAGGCCTTGAAGGCCATGGAAAGGAGCTTGGATTTTATTCTAAGTGCAGTGAGAAGGTATTTAAGCAAATGAATGACATATGCTGATACATGTTTTAAAAAAATCACTCTTGTCCTATTTGGAGCGTGGCCTTTAGGGTAGACATCCCCAACCCCCAGGCCACGGGCTGGTACCTGTTAGGAACCAGGCTGCACAGCACAGCAGGAGGTGAGCGGCGGGAGAATGAGCGAAGCTCCATCTGTATTTACAGCCGCTCCCCATCGCTCGCGTTACCGCCTGAGCTCCGCCTCCTGTCAGATCAGCGGCGGCATTAGATTCTCATTGGAGCACAAACCGTACTGTGAATTGTGCATGTGAAGGCTAGGCTGCACGTTCCTTATGAGAATCTAATGCCTGATGATCTGAGGTGGAGCTGAGGCAGTGATGCTAGCGCTGGGGAGCGGCTCTAAGTACAGATTATCATTAGCAGAGAGGTTTGACTGCACAGAGACCATCATAAATCAATTGCTTGCAGACTCATATCAAAACCCTATCAGTGAGTGGCAAGTGAAAACAAGCTCAGGGCTCCCACTGATTCTACATTCTGGTGAGTTGTATAATTATTTCATTATATACTACAATGTAATAATAATAGAAATAAAGTGCACAATAAATGTAAAGCGCTTGAATCATCCCACAACCATCACCCCCCGACCCCGGTCCATGGAAAAATTGTCTTCCACGAAACCGGTCCCTGGTGCCAAAAAGGTTGGGGACCACTGCTTTAGGGGATAAGAGCAGAAGTGGGGAGGCCACTAGGAGGCTGTGGTAGTAATTGGGAAGCAAAATCATGGTAGACTGGGCTAGGGTGGTGGCAGCAGAAGCAGTGAGAGGTGATCCAATTCAGAATAAATATTCTGGAGACAGACCAGACAAGACTTGCTGACAGATTGGATGTGGGGTGTGAAAAGAGCAATTAAGAATGACTCCTAGGATTTTGGCCTGATGGCAGGGTGATTAAATGTCATTAATGGATATGGGGAAAAGTTAAGGAGAAGCTAGAGGGGCAAGAAGCAAGAGTTTGTAGGACATTTTGTCTTTGAGATGGTATATGAGACTAGAGTTCAAGGGAGATCAGGGCTAGAAATATAAAAGGAGTCTTCAAGCTAAGTTCGCATTTAAAAGGGCGAAGCTGGACAGAGTGGAAAAGCTGGTTAAAGGCTCAAGGCCTGAGGCACTTTCCCACAAGGCTGGAGAGTGGAGGAGGAGCTGGGAACCAGCACACACACAAACAAACCAACACCTGAGAAGGGGTGGCTAGTAAGGAAGATTGAGGAAGAAGGGAAACCCAGAGCACGGCTAACTTAGAAGCCAAGTGAAAACAAATTGTTTCCAGAAGACAGTGAATGAGTGGATCAAATGTTACTGGTTTATCCAAGAAGATGAGCACAGAGAATTGATCATTTTCCTTGGATTTTCTGGCACTGATCTTTTAAAAGTTGACATAACTCATATAGGGATCCCACAGTTCCCTAAAGTTGTAACTTTCATTATCCAGAGGTGAATAAAAACTTTTTTTTAAAATGAGAAATGATCATTCTTCGGAACCAAATAATATGAACATAACCTGGAATAGAGATTGCATAGGAGAAAAGGAGAACAGAGAATATCTAAATGAAGGTGGGAATCAAGGTGGCAAGAAGCTTTAGAATAAAGTTAAAAGGCAAGGGACAAGAGGATAGTGCAAATACTTACAAAAACTTTACAAGTAAAATATACAAAAAAGTGTTAGTAGTAATATTTTAAAAATCTAACAAGTTCATAACAGACAACTACCCCATTAGAAAAATGAACCGGTGGCACAGTGGTTAAGAATCCACCTGCCAATGCAGGGGACATGGGTTCAATCACTGGTCCAGGAAGACCCCACATGCCATGGAGTAACTAAGTCCATGCACCACAGCTACTGAACCTGTGTGCCACAACTACTGAAGCCCGTGCACCAAGAGTGCAGCAACGAAGACCCAACGCAGCCAAAAATAAATAAATAAATAAATAAATAAATAAGAAAAATGAACAAAGGATATAAATAGGAAATTCAGAAAAGAAGAAATACAAATGTCCAAGAAGCATAACTTAAGATGTACACTGACAGTGTAAATAAGAACAACAACAAAAAAACCCACACAGCCTAATCACAAAAACTTATTTTATCTAAATAATTATTCCATTATTGAAAAGGATTTAGAAAGGACTGGATTAGAAGACTGGAAGTATATGTCCCAAAATATTGATAGTGGTTAAACTGGATGGTGAGATAATCATTTATGTTACTTTTCTATTCTCCTTTTATATATTTCTTAGATTTTTCTACAGCAACCATGTATCATTTTGTTAAGCTTTTAATTTATTTATACACAAAGCAATTGCCTGGAATTGGCAGTTGAGTACGAACCCCAGGAGTTACTCTTGTAAGTAACATATTGCTGATGTCATATTTCCATTTCTTAAGCAGAACTATAAATTTTTCAGTTATAGGTCATCATGTTGTAATGACAGTTGCATTGCTCATTATCTAGGTTAAGGGCTTCTTAGTGTTTTTTTCACTTTGGCCCCTGCCGCAAAAGGAGGGGAATAAAACATAAAATATCTTTTGACACTGGTTGGCATATCTGCTAAAAAGTTTAGTATGGGAGGCATTCCTGTGATCGGCAGATTTCATTCCAGACTCCTGCCGCAGCCTTACAGGACTCCTCTGCAGCGGGGACTGCATTGCGGTCTATGTACTCTACTCGCACCCCATCATCTTACATACCCCATCATCTTACATACCCCACCATCTGAAGTTTTGACTTCAGAGTCAAAACCAGACTTCCCTTCTACGGAGAGGACTGAAGAAAACGTTATGCCTGGGAAGACAGGTACAACGCCTTAGGTTAGGAGTCCAAGTCTTCCCATAGGAACCCCACTGGGTTGTAATCCTGAGGCTCCCATTTCCCTTCCGCCAAATCTAAGCTCGGGTCCAACATCCTCCTCCCGGTCCTGCTGGCTCCAGGATCCTTTTTCTCTCTCGCCGTTGAGGCCCCTCCCCGGCCCCGCCCCCTGGCCTTGGGCCCCCACCGGCCCCGCCCCTCCCTGTGACGTCACTCGTGCGCCGCGCCCCGCCCCCCCAGTCAGAAGCCCTCATTGTTCAGCCAGTCGCGCTGGTTTCGCCGCGTTGGGCTGATCCTGCGTCCTCTCCAGGTCGCAGCCCCTCCCGAAAGCTGGGCAAGGGGACCATCCCTGGCTGTGAGCTCTCTGCGGTCCTCGGGTGCAGGCCACCATGAGCAAACGGAAGGCGCCGCAGGAGACGCTCAACGGGGGCATCACCGACATGCTCACAGGTTAGCCCGGCCCGGCGCCGCTGCCTTTCTCTTCTCCTCCCTCTCCGCTGCTTTCCCTTCCTTCTCTCGAGTCCCGACAGCCCAAGGATGTCCGGCCCCTAGCAGCCCGGAGTCTTCCGTGCGGATCTTCCTCCGGCGCCGGTGGCAGATTGTCAGTCCTGCTGGAGACCCTTGAGTCACGCTTGGGCTGCCCTTAGCCTGGCCGGTGTACAAGCGGGGAGGTCCCTGTCCCTTAAGAGGTCGTTACGCCTCCTTCCAGGAAACTCAGTTCTCGTTTGTTTACTCGTGGTTCTTGTTCACCGAGCCTCTTGTTGCCTTTTCAGAACTCGCAAACTTTGAGAAGAACGTGAACCAGGCTATCCACAAGTACAATGCCTACAGGTGGGACGGGGGGGCATTCTCTGTTAGCATGCGTTCTCGGATGTGTGGCAATTAACAGGGCTGAGGGTCCAGTGGATATTAGGACCGTCTGTAGGAGGGGATAAAAAGCAAGAACTGAGGGTATTGACTCTGGTGGCACTTTACTGTGATATTTCTGGGAGAATTTGGGCAGAGTTGTGTAGGATCAGTTTTGATTAGTTGCCAATTCTGATTGAAAATAGGCTAATACGTATTTTTCCCATCATTGAACGTGAATTACTGAAAATGCAGTTTGATTTTAAGTCATAATGAAAGACAGTGGGTGAGGTCTGTGCTGTGAAGTAGATGTGGTTCAGGGGAATCTTTCCATCTGGTTGGTGTGTGGCTGATCTGTCACCTTTTGAATCTCATCCTTGTCCATTTCACCAGGGCCGTTATCCTAGCCGTTAATGCCATATCCGCCTGCTTCCGCCCCTTTAATCTGTAAACATGTCCAAGTCCCTCAGCTCTTAAGAGCAAAAACAAAGCAATCTTCTTCGCCTCCCTCTGCCCTCTAGCTAGCACCTTTTTCTTTCCTCCACTTTACAGTTAACCTTGAATAATCTGTATTCCTTGCCTGGATTTCCTCATCCCCAGTCATTCTTTATCTCATTGCAGTGTAATTTCCATCCTGCCATTCCTCTGAAAAGGTTCTCACCCATATCTCATCTTACTGGACTCTCAGTGGCATCATCTTGACTTCCATGATGGCACAATCTTCTGTTCTTTCTCCTCTTGTATCTTACCTTTTAATGTTGGTAGTTCCCAGAGGTCTGCCCTGAGCCCTCTTTTCTCACTTTTATACTTTCCTTGGCAATCTTACCATTCTTGGCTTTGAATACCAGTCAGTGACTCCAGATCTGTATTCACTGGGCTTTTCTCCAGATTTTCAAGCCTATGTTACCTTTGTCTCTACCCTTTCAAAACTAAACTCAACTCCCATCTTTCCTTCTCACTCACCATAACTAAAAACTGATTACACTCCCTTTCGTTACCTCCTGTGAATTCCTCTGTAAAATATTTGTACTGTTGTCCACACATTTGATGATCTCAAAATCAGAGAGAGATTCAACCCCGTATTCTACTTGAGTCTCAGGTGGCTTCAGAGAGGAGGTGTTTAGTCTTCAAGGAGCCCATCAGGAGATAAGGGAGAGGAGGAACAATCTAGAGAAAGGAAACAAAATGAGCCAAGGCACTGAGACACGAAGGGGTATTGCATTTTCTAGGAAGTCAGTAATTCAGTTTGCATAAGGGGTATAGTCTGAGTGGGCAATAAGTCTGGAAAAGCAGGTGATGCCCTACCACCCCTGCAGGCTCCTCCCCAACCCCCAGTCCCCATATACATTTCTCTTGATGTGACCAAAGTATTCTCTTGAATTAAATATTTCCTCTTTACCTTGATAAAACCCCAAAGCATCTGCATACAAAAGGTCTTTCCTGATTTAATTCTTCTTCCCTTTCAGGCTTTGTGCCATAGTGCCAATTATGTGGAACTGCTTGTCTTTGCTGAAACAATTTCCTCCACAAATTGCCCTCAGCCTACCTTTCCAGACTCATCATCAGTAACATGCTAATACAGAAGTCGAAATCCAAATCTGAAGGTTATATGTGCTAGAACAGAGTGAAAAACTAAGGCTTCAAAGACTATCCAAAACTACGTTTAGCATTGAAATTATAGACAGGATACCATCAGTGAGCTCCCAGGGTGGACCCAATCTGTCACCAGACTACTGAGCTAGGTATGTGTGGAGATGGCAAGGATACAGGTCACTGCTTTACGTGGAACCGAAATGAGAGCAATGAAAAAGAAGAACTGGTACAAGGACATAGGGGAATACAGTTTTAAGCCATGAATTTAAAAATAACCATCCATAAGCCAGTTTGGTACGTAGTAGTTTGAATACTTCTAGGTGGCACATTTTTTATGAAAGGAGAGTTATGAACAATTTCTAAAAACTAGCTATTAAAAAAAAAAGCTCAATGATATTTTCCACTTAATCCCAGAAAGGAAAGCCTACTGGTTTCCTGGATCTCCCTAGTTTTACATATACGGTTGAAACTGTGTTATTCTCAAATGCGAGGGTTTTCAGGATACTTTTACAAGTTAGAGATGCGGGTGGTCTGTCAGCTCATTGAGTTTTAAAGTTTTACACGGATGTGGAAGATAAGTTCACCTTGGTGAAAGTTTAAGCTGCATATTTGTTTGTATGTATATTCCAGTTTAAGAAAAACTAATACTTTGCTGGCTTTCCAATTGGTTTTCCTTTTTTTTGTTCTTTTTACTTGTAGAAAAGCAGCATCTGTGATAGCAAAGTACCCACACAAAATAAAGAGTGGAGCAGAAGCTAAGAAACTGGTAAGTTTAGGGAGCAAATTGATCGAAGAGCTCACACATGTACCCATCTGATGGGTTCCCACAAGATGAAATTTGCCTCCGAAGCTGCCGTGACCCACACGGGCAGATTTCACTGCTTTCTTGGAATAATATTAATGTGTTTCAAGCATACTTTTTCAAGCTTGGAGTGTTTTTATTGGGGGAGGGGGTGGATTTAAGATTTTTTTTAACATATGTAATTACAGTTTTCTTTCTCTACTTTGCCACGTATATGTGTACTCATTCTCACGCTGAATTTCAGCTTGAGTGTTACTCCTCAAGGAGAGTGTGGTAACAGAGTGGTACTCGCATGTCTGCTCGCTAGCTGTTCTTTCTGATCCCCAGGTAGAGGAACTTATGTGAGTTAGTGTTCCCAAGGAGATCTTACCTACTAATAAGCACACGATTAAGCCCCTTTGCATGTTATGGCATTTAGCCCTGTTCTCTGTAATTTCCGTGAAGCCCTGTATGCTAATAGTGTCACTCTCGGGTGGGACTTGGCATTCTCTGTTCCAGCACATCCCTCACGTGATGCAGGTGTATGCAGAAGCCTGAGAACTTCTGTTCTAGAGCAAGTCCATGACAGCATTGTTATAATTTCAAAAATTGGAAAACATCTAAATGTTCTCCTGTATGGTAGTCTTAAAGTAAATTATGATACATTCCTACAATAATACACTATGCGGTCATTAAAGATGTTGTAGTTTAATTATCAATACAGAAATTTGTTCATGATTCATTTTTAAGTTAAAGCACTTTACAAAGCAGTATGATTCTATTTTTGTAAGAAAAAAGTAGCAGTATGTATACACACAGACACACACACACACACACACATACATATATACACGCACGTAACTTTGCATATATATATGAGCAAAAAAGAAGTCAGTACATAGCAGATGTTAAGTGGCAAGGTTACAGGTTATTTTAATTTTCAGGGTGATGAAATTAACAAGTGATTCTAATATTTTCTTTATGCAATTTTATATTTTCTAATTTTTCTACAACAAAAGTTAATTTTGAAAAAGCAAGGTCATTTAGAATTGTCTTATTAGGGCTCCTCTTTTGCCAATCATTTAAACATTTTGTCTTTGGGAGAATATATTTTTACTGGTGCTCAATTTTCTGTGTCCTTTGTTTGAAAACTGGTCATGTGACAATCACTGTTTTTTCATTTCTCATTTTTTCCTTTATCTTTTAGTGATTTGGTAAAGCATAATATTTATGTGACTTTTATATTTTTTATTTTCTATGTAGCCTGGAGTAGGAACAAAAATTGCTGAAAAGATTGATGAGTTTTTAGCTACTGGAAAATTGCGTAAACTGGAAAAGGTAAAATGCTAACTTACTTGTTTGCTTATAGTGTCTGCCTTTATGGCAGCTATCATGTAGCACCATTGCAGGGTGGGTGATGTCATCCACCCTCTGTTAGATTCAGTGAGAAAAGGGAGGAGCAGTTTATGGCTTTGTAAGTGTCCTATATTTTAGATTTTGAATATTGTTCTTATAAACTGTTCACTTATTTTATGTTGCATTTAAGAGACTATTAGCATCTGTGATAGAATTACTTCTTTATTTTCAGTATCATTTAGAAGGGAGATGATAAACTTTGACTAAATGATTGTTATCTTTTAGAATTTCTATGCTTAAACTCTCGCAAGCATTTTTATGGTTTTATTTCACCCTGATGATAGTCATTATATCACTTCTGGTCTTTTTATGAATAAGCCTTTTTAAAGTATTGGATAAATTAGAGAAGAGCCATCTTCATCTGCTTTCTTACTCACCTGTAACCACTGGGGTTTTACATGAATCCTTCTGCATGGAGTATCCAGGCAGTGTAAAAGGCTCTTCAAGTCTCTTAGCAGCCTAGTGTATTTCTAATAAGATCATTTGAGTCCTCAAAGCATTCCTAAATCATTGTTAGACTTTTTTTTTTTTCCTTAAAGATTCGGCAGGATGATACGAGTTCATCCATCAATTTCCTGACTCGAGTTAGTGGCATTGGGTAAGAATTATTTTTTAAGCAGACACAGTAGTAGGGTTGTTTAATTTTTTTATGTCAGCCAAACTAAAGTACATGCTCTTTCTCTTCAAGGCCTGTACCTTTCCACCTCTGCGCCTTTGCCCATGCAGTTCACTCACCCATATTTACATGTCTCAGGCTGGTTCTTCAGAGGCTGCCGCGACTTTAAAAGCCCCATTCAAGGCACGTGAATCCAGTTTGAGTCCCCAGCCAGAAGTAATCTCTCCTTCCTCTAAGCTCCATTAGCACTTGCTCTGTGGACTTATTATCACTCCCTCCACATTGTGGCTCTTTTGCCTCTCTGAGCGTGGTATTTATCTTAAACATTTAAGCTTTTTCTGTAGTACCTGGCATATGAGCTTGGAACAAGCACTCCAGTATTTCCTAATGAAGGCATCTCTATCTTAAAGTTGAGCTAGCAGAGGCTTCTTTGACACTGGAGAGAATAAAGGTTAACACTGAAGTATTAGGGCTGCAGTGCTTTACTTAACTCTCTTCTTGATGGAATGAGGCCATTCTTTTAGGTATATGATGATTGTTCCTTAATGGCAACCATTTGATGAATGTTATTTTAAAATATATTAAATTCCTAAACCTAGTATACTGAAAAGGAGTATGACTCCTTGGGGACCCAAGACAATTATAAAATGTTAATATTTGTTTTAGAGAGCGTCTGTTACATTATTCTCATTTTCCAGGCAAGAAAACTGAATGCAGAAAGTGAGATAGCTGTGGCAGGGCCAGAATCAGAACCTGGGTCTCCCGACTCCCAGTCCAGATCTATTATTTCTATGCCACATTGCCTTCCTGATATGAATGTCAGTTTCTGTACCAAGGCTCTTTGTCATTAAAATCTCAGTTTAAGTATCATCTGAGAGGCCTTCCCTCACCACCCAATGTAAAGAAGACGCAGCCACTCCGTCATATTACCCTATTTTAATTCATCTACCAGATATTTTTCTTTGTTTATGTATCTGTTCATTGTCTCTCTCTAACCACTGGAATGTATAAACAGGTAAGACCAGGGCCCTTATTTGTCTTATTCCTGCTGTATTTTCAGCACCTAGAAGAATATCTGACACATAATAGGCCCTCATTAAATCTCATTTGAATGAATGGTTTTCAAGTGCCTGTATGTCTGGTGTATGAATAATGTCCATGGGCATTATGCCACCTAGCTGCTTGGATGTCTTTTTCATATCTAAATTTATGACTGTCTTCCTAGATTAAGGCTTCAATAATTTGAACATTACCAAAGTAACCACACAGTAGTTTAGCAGGTGTTTTTTTTGGCTCAAAGGTAGCTTTTATGTTTGACAAGAGGAGGCATAACTGGTTATTTGTTACAAGGATCCTGAGTTTCACTTGACACTGAGATGCTTTTCTTTCTTTGTAGTCCTTCTGCTGCAAGGAAGTTTGTAGATGAAGGAATTAAGACATTAGAAGGTGAGTCTGTACAGTGGGTCACTAATTTCAGGTCAGATATAGTGCTGAAGGACCATGCTCTAACAAACTGGAATTTGAAAAACCCTTTCTCAATTAGTAGAAACGAATGGTAAGATTTTCTTTTTAACTCTACAGTAGAGAACAGATATAAAGTATAGCTTATATTCCCATTTTAAACATGTTTTGGTCTATAATTTAGAAAAAAATCAAGAAGAACAAGAAGTGGCTTCTTGGTTTAAAGGCAATGATTCATTTGTAGATTTTTAGACGATTTTTAAATTGCTTTTGTTTCTTTAATAAAATTCTAGACCATAAAGTCCTATACATTCAGCCTAAAAGCCAAGTTATGTATATTGAGAAAAATTCTGTTAAGAGGCTTGCAATGCTTATTGAAGGGATTTTTGCTTCCAAAGAAGTGATAAAAATAAAAGTCAAGTAATTATAAAACATTTTCCTTAAACCTAATATATCCATCTTTTAAATATAATTTATCTCTTCATGCTTTCAAGGGTATATACTATATGGATTCATTACAGCACATCTGTGGCACTTGGGGATTAATATTTGTGGGCTCAACTAATTTATAAGCAACCCAGATGGTCAGGAGGACAGATTTTGGAGACTGACTTGGGTTTGAATCCAGTCTCCACCCCTTTATTAAAATAGTTGACTGTGGGGGCTTCCCTGGTGGCGCAGTGGTTGAGAGTCCGCCTGCCGATGCAGGGGACACGGGTTCGTGTCCCGGTCCGGGAAGATCCCACATGCGGAGCAGCTGGACCCGTGAGCCATGGCCGCTGAGCCTGCGCATCCGGAGCCTGTGCTCCGCAACGGGAGAGGCCACAGCAGTGAGAGGGCTGCGTACCGCAAAAAAAAAAAAAAAAAAAAGTTGACTGTGATACTTCAGTCTCTCAGCTACAAAATGGTATCATAATATCTCTCTCATATGATTTAATGCAATAATGTATGTAAAAGACTTAGCAGAGTCCTTGGTACCTAGTAAGTACTTAAAAATAGTAACTGACTCTTAAAAGGCATGATTAATAAGTAATATTATTAACTTGAGAATTTGTGTGAATCACATAGCTAGAGAATGAATTGTTCTATATATGCATCTTAGAGAGGGTTTGTGCTTTTCTGCGTGTGGCGTATATAATTTACCTGAGTGAAATATTGGTTAAAGAGGTCAGGAGTTTGTTTCTCAAAGGTATTCGTTGCATCCCTTGGGGTGTCAAGGATCTACTGTGGTGGTTTTACATTATTTCACCATTCACAGATATGTAATGTAATAGCTGTCGATATCCCTCTCTCCATATGTAACAAACTCAATATTTCTGTGGCATTTTTGGTCATATACCTTAGTGTTTTCTGTGTGCACACAATTATGAGAAACATTACATGCTTATTTTTAATAATGAAGGTGCTTATTTTTCTCCATTTTATGTCTCCAGAGAGAATTTATGTTTGTGAATATAAGGGTGACCATAGGAATTGCTTTTGAAGCATACGTATCTTGCCGTTTCTTTAACAAGGCTCACTCCTGTGCCTGTACCCACTAAAGGACCACCCAGATGGGACTCGGTCACTTTCAGTTTAAGATATTACAGTTTTCTTGATTAAAAAAATAATAATACTACCTCTCCTTTCAACGGGATTTTTAGCATAGTGCCTGCACAAATCGGTACTCAATAAATATTAATCCAGTGAAGGAATGAATGAACAAATGAACAGTATGAATGAACTTCTCATGCTGCTATTAACCGTAAATTAAGCAATATAGGTTCTTAGAAGGTGCGTTTTGCTATACCAGTGAAGTTTGGTATGATCCTGGTATGTTTTATCTACTGTTCTATGTAGCTATAATTGAAATTTTGATTCAGTAAATAAAAATGATTATGCAGTCACTGTTGGGTTTTACTATTGACTTGAAGAATCACTTTTATCTAGTTCTTACTATCTGAAAGTTTTTTCATTTGCTTTTCAAAGTCATTTCAGTGTGTTTTCCAGGTAGTTCTTTGAAAAAAAGGATCACTGAAATTAGCATTTTTTTTCAAAAATGTTTAAATCAGCATCTCAACTATATTTATCTTCTATACAGATCTCAGAAAAAATGAAGATAAATTGAACCATCATCAGCGAATTGGGCTAAAGTAAGATAGCAGATTTCCTTTTGACACTTGAAATGTAAAAGTAAAATTTTTTATAGCCATTCTTCCGTACACCATAAGTCTTCAGACTTAGCTAAACACGGCCATTTTACTAATCAGAAATGCTAAGATTTGTTGCAGACTCCTGTAGAGAATAAGCCTGTATTCACACGTGTTTTTTTACTGCCTTCTAGTTTGTTTGCTTGTTTTGAGTATATCCCACATTACCTTGACTTTAGCTGGGAACTTCCCCTTAAAATACATAGAACGGAGGGCCTCAGTTAGTCAGGGTATTTATTTCATGCTTACATTGTAGAAAGCACTGCCTCTGAGGTTAGGATATAAACAGGTTCTGTGTAGCTCTTAAGAAGTTTAGAGTCTACCTGAGAAGACGGGACATGACCATGAAACACTAAATTTTTTTAAAAAGGAAAAGGAAGAAAACCCAGACACCTAAATACCAGAATAGGAATAACTAGTAGACGTGTCGTCTGTCAGCATGGGTAATTACTTTGTCAAGTGCAAGATACAGACCCCCCCTTCTGACTGATTATTTACAGCACGTAGTGTACATGCATAAGCACGTATCTCCTCTGGTCTTAGGTTGTCTTGTTGGCCATTCAGTCCTAATAACCTTCTGAACTTCCCTGTTGATGCCTTACCACAATATTTTAAAACTTACACTGCCTTTCCAAAACTCTGAATCAGTAAAAGATCAGGATGGTGTAGTTCTCACTCTCCTTGCATTTTCATAGTAAATGGAGATCTTCTGAAGAACTTGCTTGTTGTGAGAATTGGTTTTGAACAGGCACTTTATCATTCTTAGATGTTATTTAATACTAAGATAGTATTTTTTTTTTTTTTTTTGCGGTACGCTGGCTTCTTACTGTTGTGGCCTCTCCCATTGCGGACGTGCAGGCTCAGCGGCCATGGCCCACGGGCCCAGCCGCTCCGCGGCATGTGGGATCTTCCCGGACCGGGGCACGAACCCGTGTCCCCTGCATCGGCAGGTGGACTCTCAACCACTGCGCCACCAGGGAAGTCCCCTAAGATAGTATTTTTAATAGCCTTATTGAAATATCATTTCATATACCAAGTAATTCACCCACTTAAAAGTGTGCAATTCAGTGTTTTTTTTTTTATATTCCCAGAGTTGTGCAACCATGACTATAGTCAATTTTAGAACATTTTTGTTATCCCCAAAAAAGCCCAAACCCATTAGCCATCACTCCTCATTTCTTCCCAACTGCCCTTCCCTCCCCCAGCCCCTGGCAACCACTATTCTACTTTCTGTCTCTATAGATTTGTCTATTCTGGATATTTCATGTAAATGAAATCATAATATATGGTCTTTTGTGACTGACTTCTTTCACTTAGCATAATGTTATCTCGGTTTATCCATACTGTAGGATAATATTTTAAAATACAAGTATTTTTCAGGATTTAAGAGCAATAAGCTGTAATCCCTGGATTTGCCAGTAGGGAGCAGTCTAACTTGGAACCGTATTAACTTAAATATATTTATTTACTCTTGGTATGTGAATGCGAAGTTTATTTAAAATAAGTTTGGATGGAATATCTGGAATATCACAAAGCATGACACTTAAGGATTTTGATCCAAGTTAAGGAATAAACCTCTCCCCACCCCCCCAATTTTACTCTTGTCGTAATGAATTTTAGTCTTGATTTTTGAAAGATCTGCTTGTATAAGGACACTTGATAAAGTAGGCAGTTTAATTTCTAAGATTCAAATTTCACAAAAAAACTTTTGTCTACTTATTCTGTCTTTATAGATATTTTGAGGACTTTGAGAAAAGAATTCCTCGTGAAGAGATGTTACAAATGCAAGTAAGAGTGTGCTGAATTGTATTCTTTGATTAGAATTGAGAATGTCAATTGGTGAAAAGCCATTTTTAGAATACTGACTTAAGTTTTCTTCTATTAGGATATTGTACTAAGTGAAGTTGAAAAAGTGGATTCTGAATACATTGCTACAGTCTGTGGCAGTTTCAGAAGAGGTAACATACTTCCTAAGCTTAGGTTATTCATGCCTTGATGTTAAAATTGCCTAATGTATATGAAAAACATGGATTAAAAAGATGTAATTTGTGTTACTTTATAGATTTACTAATATCTAGTAGTATTAGCTAAATTTATTTGTTTATAAATGGGAGTATAAATTAGAGGAAATTCATCCTGATTTTATTATAAGATGGGTTTTTTTGATGACTAGTTCTAATAAAATTATTATAAAATAATTTTAGGTATATTAAATGCTAATAGTGGTTATCTGGCTAGATGCTAGTGAAGCCATGAGTAGTTTTTCTGTTTGTTGTTTTACTTTATTTAAGTTTCTAAGTTTTCTCTAATGGATCTAAGTTTAATGTCTCAGAGACATCAGCTCAGAACCAGTTCTCAAAACAACCAGGTTCTTCAGAAGATCTTAATTTACTATGTGAATGTGAACAAAGTGAGAACCGCACAATCCTGGTCTCTTACTGGCTAAAAATTTTGGAAGGGTAACCTAAATTTTAAAATATTATCTTAAAAAATTGAAATAGAACTTTATTTAAAACCTTGAAATAGATGTCTGACTGAATCTCTGGCCACCTCTGGAGTTTTGCTTAGGAAGTGGTAATAGGCTATCAGAAGTTCTCTGGGTAGCTGCTGTAAGAATCTAGCATTCTCTTTTTTTTTGCGGTACGCGGGCCTCTCACTGTTGTGGCCTCTCCCGTTGCGGAGCACAGGCTCTGGACGCGCAGGATCAGCGGTCATGGCTCACGGGCCTAGCCGCTCCACGGCATGTGGGATCTTCCTGGACCAGGGCACGAACCCGTGTCCCCTGCATCGGCAGGCAGACTCTCAACCACTGCACCACCAGGGAAGCCCCAAGAATCTAGCATTCTTATCTATGATGCCATAATAGTAATTGTTACCAGTACTCATTAAGTGAATTCATTCAGAAGAATTGAAATGAATTTTCTGATTAACCTTTGCAGAGTTAGAGCATATTGTTTAATTTGAGATTTTTAAATATTTAGTGTTCATAGATATATTTTAAAGGTATATTTAAATGTTATTTTTATTCAGTATTGAGTAGTTACTTAGGTACATTTTTAATAATATTTAACCAATTGTATGCAACATATATCTAACATCAATTACTGTTGTTATCCCAGATTCTGTGTTTACATTAATATACCTGAATAGTTGGACAGAAAATTGAACTCTTTTAACTAATTCTGAATATGAAGCACAGTGAAATAGAAAGTTAGGCTGTAAGAAGTAAGACTCTTCTATGTGTGTCATCACCTTGGTTCTGTGTTTGCCTAATTGATAAATTTACAAGGAGAATTCCATACATATTTTTTGCTATCATAGGGGCAGAGTCCAGTGGCGACATGGATGTTCTTCTGACCCATCCAAGCTTTACCTCTGAGTCAACCAAACAGGTACCTCAGAATTTATAAGCAAATGTGATCGGTCTTACACAGCAGTGAATATAATTTTCTAAATGATAGTTGGATATTTTCAGAATGAGTTTTTGTTTTAATCTTTCTGAAAGTCAGTTGAAGTGTTTTGTACTGACTGAATTCTTTGAGAGGCAAAGTAAGTTGTTGGAAGGGACACGCATTGTTTGTCCACAAATAATTGGCAGGACAGTCTAGCATTTGGAAGAGATGAAATTTAGTAAAATACTTCCAGAATTATTTATTGTCTATCAAGAAACTTAAGCTCTGTTAGAAGACCCATGAAGGCAAAATGCTTTTGATTTTGGAATATATACCTTTTAAAGATGAAGCAGGTAACTTTTTGTTTAATGAAACAGATAAAGACAAATGATGTCTATTTGGGGGTATCATGATATTGGTGAAAAGTGGTGGTTTCATTTGATAAGATGAATTTTCTGTTAGAAGAAAAGGTACTCAGAACATAGGAAAACTAGGCATTTCTGCATAGAGCATCAGAAAACTCATTTTAAAAATGCTCTCTTGCTGTAACAGAGTAATTGCTTTTTTTCTTATTCCCTAATTATGATTCTATAGCCAAAGCTGTTACATCGTGTTGTGGAGCAGTTACAAAAGGTCCATTTTATTACAGACACTCTGTCAAAAGGGGAAACAAAGTTCATGGTAAGTACTCACTTGAATTAACACATTTAAAAAAAACTGTGGAGACTGTCCAGTAACCATTCTGAGTGTGACCTCACTGTAGCTTAGTGTCACGGTCAGTAAATAGGACATCCTAGACCTTAGAGGAGATATATTCTCTAATCTGAGAATATTTTAGTAAAGAGGGTTTTTTTGTTGTTTTTGTTTTTTTTTTAATTTATTTGGTTGCATCAGGTCTTAGTTGCTGCAGGTGCACTCCTTAGTTGCAGCTCAAGGGCTCCTTAGTTGTGGCATGTGAACTCTTTGTTGCAGCATGCATGTGGGATCTAGTTCCCGGACCAAGGATCGAACCCTGCATTGGGAGCGTGGAGTCTTAACCACTGTGCCACTATGGAAGTCCCAGTAAAGAGTTTTGTTCTAAATTCCCCACTTGTAAATAATCTGTGCCATTGGAATAGGTAATTATGCATAATTTGCTATTTTTAAAATATCCATAATGACTTTAATACATTATATTTTTTCCCTAAAATAGCAAATACTCTTTGACTCAGAATATATTAATAAGTGAGATTAGAATTGTCTGAAGAGTATTAATCTGTTACAAGACCAAAGAAAGAAGGCATCAGGGTACGTGATAGAACGTCCAGGGGAAGAACCATGCTGTATGAAGGGGGCTCATAGAGGGGGCACCTGTGGAGTTGTCCCAGTGAAACTCACTGTGATGGACTGTCAAAGTCCTGTGTTCTTCCTAGGGGATTAAGACTTGAGGATTCAAGACGAATAGCAAATGGATTAAAAACATTAATAAATGGTCCTGTATAAAAACCGAAGGCAAACAGAAATCTAGGGCTAACGTAATAAAGGCTCACATTTATCTGCTGCTCACTTCAATACAGCACTTGGGCGCTCTTTTCTCCATGACCCCCTTTCCCTAAGTCAGAGACTATGCTTTTGGAGCACGGACATGCTAGAATGAGCAAGAGTCTCACTGTGTAGATTTGACAGTCTTAGCCAAAAGTAGAAGAAGGTGGTTGAGATAGATAATTGAATTACCAGGTCATTCAGGAAATGGGACGGTGGTTGCCAGGGCGTGGGCGGGGCAGCAGGGAGATGGGGAGTGAGTGTTTATGGGGACAGAATGTCAGTGGGGGAAGATGAAAAAGTTCTGAAGACGGATGGTGGTGATGGTTGCACGACAGTGTGGATGTACTTAATGCCACTGAACTGCACACTTAAAAAGGGTTAAAGTGGTATATTTTATGTTATGTGTATTTAATCATATATGCAAAAAAGCATGTCATTTGATTCAGCATGGTGATTTTAATGGGCTATGAAAGTATATTAACTAAGTTGTCACACTTTATCAGTATTTTCAAAAGAACTTTGGGAAAGGTAAAAATAAAAATTCTAGTCAGTTTTTGAGAATTACATTTATGATCTGTTCTCCCTAGACTGTCAGGTTTTGAGCTCTTACTCTATGCTCAAAAATATATGCACACATGAGATATTAATAAAAATAGGATTTGTATATGCCATATGAACATCCTTTTAAGTTTAGATTGACTTTAAATCACTCAAAATGAATGTGCATAAATCTTACATTTAAAGAACATTCAATCAGATAAAATTCTAAAAGTCATGTGCTAGACAAGTTGGGTTGTTTTTTTTAAATAGTAGGGAAGTGTCCTGGTATGCCACCAGGGACCCCTTCTGGCCTCTCTTCCTTCAGTAGTCATCTCTGTGAAAGCACTGGACTCTCTCCTGGGGAAGTGTAGCAGCTGTTTTCAGAGTTAGCCACCAGGAAGGTGTTTACACAATAAAAAAGCAGAAGCATTTTTTTACAGTCTGAACAGTATTCTTCTGTGCCCAAAGAGATCCAGAGGAAAGACCTACAGAGGCTGTAGTAATCCAGCTAGCAAGAATACAAGGAAAAATTACAAGCTGGTGGGCTGGGTGTAACCTGCAAAGGAAGGTGGGTAGCCAAGTATGTGAACATACAGAGTTGCTGACATAGTGGAATTGGGTTATCCTAGTAGCTGCTCAAAGAAGGGAAGTCCTTTGTCTAGGAAGGTCAGAGGCAGCCAAATCCCAGTGATGCTGCAGAGTCGGCCGGTTCAGACCTCACAGTACATGTGTGTGAAAGACTAGGACCGCTCACCCATCCTAGGATACGGGCTGGGGTTGTGGAAGTCTTGGCGCTATCTAGCCTTCCGTTCTCTCGGTCATACCTGGCAGCACATGTACAGGTATTGGCAGAAAGGGAATCCTCCAAACCTCTTTCCAGAAGAAAACAGGTTAAAAAATAAGAAAGCAGGCTTTTTGTTTGTTTTCAAAGTATAGAAGACTTAGACCACAATAAGAGACCAAGGCCTTTATGTTGTGACATAGGAATCCATCTTAGTGGATGGTCTGTGTGTAAAGTTTGTATACTGTACATGTAGTTCATGTATTCACTGAAGCTTAGAAAATGCCATGTTTGAGCCTGCTGTTTTGACATTTATAATTGGTATTTGTTAGGATGAGAAGCACTCCAGGTCAACTTTCAAATCATTTTATTTTGGAGGCAATAAGAAGTGATTTGTGTCTTGTTGCAAACACGGTGGGTGTTGGTATGTTGCATTGTAGGAAAGTAGATTTGGATACGGAGGCTTTAAGATCTTTTGGTTCCATTGCCAATTTGTTGTGTGACATTGACAAGTTGCTTTACTTCTCTAAGGCCTTAATTTTCTTATTTATAAAATGATATCCTTGCCCTCTGTCAAAGGACTGTTATGCAGATCAGATTAAGTAATATATGTGGAAACGTTGAAGGGTTTGTACAGATATCTTTTGAAGATACTGTATCTTCAAAGAGTTGTGCAGTGTTATACTAGTATAATACATAATAATAATATAAAAGATAATATATTTCTATTTGGAAATAGATCAGTTGGAAGAAGGTAGTAACCTGGAAAGAATTAAATTGGGGAACAGAAAAAGGGATAGAAAAAGAGAAGATGGTGCTATGAAAGAACAAAGTGGGGAGAATGAGTGTCAGTAGGAATGAGAAGGTGTATTCAGTCAATTCACCAAATACATACTTAGCATCTACTACATTCCAGGCTCTGCTCTAGGAGAATGGGATAGATTAGTGAATTTAAGTAGAACTTTTTTTTTTTTTTTTTTTTTTTTTTTTTGCGGTACGTGGGCCTTTCACTGTTGTGGCCTCTCCCGTTGTGGAGCACAGGCTCTGGACGCGCAGGCTCAGCGGCCATGGCTCACGGGCCCAGCCGCTCCACGGCATGTGGGATCTTCCTGGACCGGGGCACAAACCTGTGTCCCCTGCATCGGCAGGCGGACTCTCAACCACTGCGCCACCAGTGAAGCCCTAAGTAGAACTTTTATTTGAGGGTATGGGAAGGGACTGCCACTTAACAATGAACATATTAAGTAGGTAAAACGTTAAGATAATAAGTATTGTTTTTTAAAAAGAAAGGGAGTGCAGGAGACGGTATTAAAGAGTCCGGCCTTATTGAGAAGATGAGACCTGGGGAAAGACTTGAAGTAAGGAAGTTAGGCAGGCAGGTCTCTGCGGGGAGAGAGAGGCAGGCAGGAGTCAGGGCAGTGACCCTGAGCACGTGAACATGAGCAGAGATCACCAAAGGAGTTAAGATCTCTACGTTTCTGAAAGGAAATTGGCTGCAAAATGAATTCAGCTTATGAAGTGGAGTAAACTCCACTCCATATCGATCCACTTGTTTTCAGAACATCTTGTTGCTATAAGTACTGACTAAATAGTTTTAAAGATACGACCATCTGTGTGTTTTTTAAGTTATCTTCAAAACATGAATTCTCTTAAACTAATAGTAATCAAAGCTTAGGAAAGCCAGGGTTATTCCAGCTCTTCTTGTAAACTCAGGGTCTTTAGTTAATTGAACTATTCTTCCCGTGAATATAATGACATTTGGAAGAAAAACCAATTTCCTCTGCATTTAGATGCCTTTTTACTTTATATATGGTGAGTACCACTCAAATTTTAGCGTTTCGTGCAGGTTTGACCTCGGAGGATGATTTTCTGTGAAATATCTACAGCGAGGATTCACAGGACAATAGAATATACCTTGGCTACACTTGGGGAAATGAAAGAGGCTTTATTTCAGACAGTCAGCATGAAGTGACCTAACTGAAATGCCAAACAAAACTAATCCACTCAATTGAATAAAGAATTTACAGTAATACAGAGAAATTCTTTAACATTAGCACTTCAGAAAAAGTGCAGGAAATAAAATTAGCCTTGAGGACAGGAACAAAGCCATTAGATGGAATCCTATTACTGATGTGACAAACAGAAAGATCATTGCCTGTGGGTTCAGACATCCAGATCTGCAAGGTAATGCCTCATGGTAATTCCATTTGAAGGTTGAGTTGGAACTTGTTAGTGCCTAAGAAGGTAGGTTTCATATTTGAAGATAAACAGGTTTCATTAATCTCTCAGGAATAGGAGTTGCTAAAGAAAATACCCATTTTAGATTTTAGATTTTGATTTTTCTATGTTGCTGAGTGAAAAGTGTGTCTTTTAGTGACGTGTGTACCAACTCGACTGCTCTTTAGGACCAGAAACCTGTCACTTGTGTAGTTTTCTTAGAATGTGGCATTTGAAGCTTTAGATTTGAAATTTGGTGATGTTTGTATTTCTTTTTACATGTTTATGCATTGCTGCCCAGTCCATAAACTGTCCCCATTTTCCTGGAAAAGGAAAAGATAACAAAACACACCTTGATAATTATTGTTTAAAAACTGCAGAAGTATTAAAAAAGAAAACTGCAGAAGTATAATGAAAACTCACCTGTAGAGAAGGAAGAAAACGATCCTCTAATTTTCTTGTCTTTTAAATTTTTCTTAATTTTCCTCTCTCTGTCTTTTCTGATTTCTGGGAGATTTCCTCAATTTCAACTTCTTCTACTTTTATCATATTTTAAATTTTGATTTAAATCTTTTCCTTGTGTTTTCTTTTTCTGTAGAATTCTGTCCTTATTTCATGGATAAAAATCTGTGATCTGAGAATATTACTGATAGCTTTTGTGTCTGTTTTCTTCTCCCTGAATAATCATTGTTTCTTCCAAGTTGCTTTTTTCTGTTTGTTTTGGTCTCTGTCTTTCACGCTTTCCTTGATTAGCTTCTCTTGTTTAGAGTCACACAAAAGCCAGACCCTCATAACCGGAACCCTTGCCTGCTGTTTCATGTGGTTCTCTAGTTATCATGAAGCACAGTAGGAAGGCAGGGGTAATATATAGTGCATAGAAAAGCTACTAAGTTACAAGCGCTCACAATTCTAAAACTGCCTCCATTTAAAGCAAAAATAGCTTCACAGTTAACAGTCTTTGATTAGAATTAAGCCTTAAGTTTAAAAAAATCTTTAAACATTATTTTTAAATATACGTTTTAGGGTGTTTGCCAGCTTCCCAGTAAAAATGATGAAAAGGAATATCCACACAGGAGAATTGATATCAGGTATTACTCAAAATTTGTTGCTGACCTATTAACTTTTCCCTTCTTTTCCCCTTTTCCCCCTCCTTCTGTATGTCTTGGAATTTGCATAAATGTCTAAGACCCCTTTTCATTCCAAAGTGCCATGTGTCCCTGCAATAGACAATGTTTAGCCTGAAAGTATGTAAAGAATGATGACTGTCTGCAGAATCTACTTTATTATCTCTAGGTTCACCATGGTATCTTCTGCAGCTCAGAGTAGATCCTGCCTGGGGAGAGTTGGTTGTAACAAGTGATACTGCTTTGCATTTGTCCACACCTCTTGCAGAGCATAGTTTACTGAAACCTCAGCTAACTGCAAAGTTGAGGTCATTTGAATGGTCTACCTAATGATGGTGTCCTCTTCAGTTATTGGACCACACAGACTTGTTTTGTGCCTTAATGATTTTAAGAGTACCATTTTTGCTAAATTGGAAATATGTAGTAAAAATTGGTGAATTGTTTATTGGTTGTAGGTTGATACCCAAGGATCAGTATTACTGTGGTGTCCTCTATTTCACTGGGAGTGATATTTTCAATAAGAATATGAGAGCTCATGCCCTAGAAAAAGGCTTCACAATCAACGAATACACAATCCGTCCCTTGGGAGTCACTGGTGAGTATTTTTGTCTGCATTAGAGATAATCCTAGTCCTCTGGATATTTTGGTTTAGCAACTTTGGTTTTTCTAAAAAGCCTTTCAGTAAGTGTGCCAGTTAATTGCAGTTTCTTTGGTATTGTTAGTCCCTCAGGCAACAAAAAAAGCTTTAATCCATAGGTGCTCCCAGGCCCTCAGTTGAAGGCCCATGATGACAAGATTCGTTTATTTCCAGCTCTATTAGAATGGATTAAATTCTTTCTACCTCTGGTGGTCAGTAAATAATCTTATTGATTTAAAGTGTTTTTGTTTTCTTAAATGTATCTCCAAGACTTCCAAAGAACCCAGGTATTTTTGTTAGTGCCAGGCCAAACTTGGTAGCTTTGGCCCCAAGCTTTTAAAGTTTAAAGAGTAAAAATTGCTTGATTTCTGTTTTATAGATCTTGTTAACATTTCACAATATACTATGTGGTTTACTGTTCTCTTCTAGGAAGATGAAGATTTTGTCTTTTTGTCCTGAAAGTGTTTTTCATCCCTGGTAGATGAGGGCTGTGCTTCTCACATGTCAGTGTGTATACCAACCATGTGGGGACCTCGTTAAGTGCAGATTTTAGTTCGGTGGCTTCTGCATTGCCAGTAAGCTGCCAGGTGGTGCCAGTACTGCTAGTCTGGGGACCGTATTTTGAGTTGCAAAGGAACTCACTAGAGTATTTTCTCTAATACGGTGGAGATCCAGCAGACAGAAAAATCATGGATTAGGGCCACTTCAGCTGGCCAGAGTTGGGGTACTGAGGTTTTTTGTGTAGCGCCGGTAATATGTGTGGCAAAGCACAGACACAAGCTCACGGGGGAGGGGGAGGGCAGTCAATATCTTTTTTTTTTTTTTTTGAGTGGCTTGGGGACTATTTTCTTTTTCCTCTGAAAGTGAGTCCTGTGTAGCTCTCAGTCCTGAAACCTCTAAACTCCAGAACTGGTTCATGAGGAAGGTTCTGTTCTCCCTCCTTGCAGGAGTTGCTGGAGAGCCGCTGCCCGTGGATAGTGAGAAGGACATCTTTGACTACATCCAGTGGAAATACCGAGAACCCAAGGATCGAAGTGAATGAGGCCCATCCTCCCCGGCACAGCCCAATAGGTCTTAATTTATTTCTTAACCTTTGCTACATAAGGGTCTGTGGTGTTTTTAAATAATTGTTTCTTCATGCTGTAGCTTGCGTTAGTCAATAAAACCTCTTGTACTACTATCAGATGATCTTGTGCTTATTTTATTAGCAAATATGTTTAAATTTATATATTCTGTTCATGATCACACTTTACTAAGGGTCAGTGGAGAGGAGTAAGAGATGAGATGATAACAAATCTTAAATGGGAATTTTTGTTTTCCCATTTTCTGCCCTTATGCTATAAACCACATTACCTCATTACCTTTCCTCCTATTTACTGATTGTAAATTAGTCAATTAGGCAAGCCTCAATTAGTTCAATCTTTTTTAGAGACTTTTTTCTATGCTTGGCCCATATGTGATTTTGTAACATATACTTATAACCTAATTCCAAGAATAGGTGTGTGGTTTATCTCTTAAATGAAATCTGTAACAGTTGATTGTAATCCATCAGAAAGAGCTTCCCTAATTAAAACCACTTTTAATATGTACCCATATGTATAAAATATGGTCTCTTATACTTTGAACAAAGATTTTACTTTTTTTTGCCCTAGTTTTCTTCCAGTGTAACTTTTAAGTTCAGATGATCAAAATGTATAAGTAAAAGCACTCCTTGAAAGCCCTAGCTTTGAAATATAGAAATTATTTAAATACAAAATATAGGAAGTTCTCAAATGGTAAGTAAAGCTATTGAAAACAAAATAACGTAAAAGTGCTTTGTAACTTGCAGTGGGCTATACAAACATAAGATACTACCTTTTGAATCTTACTTCTTTATTAACCAAGTTATTTTGTAGCAAAACGGTATTTCCCTTCCAAGAAATAAGTGATTTTAAACAATGGGGGTTTTAAGGAAAAATAAAGTATTTGCTGTGATAATTTTCCCTGCCTACTACTGTCAGGTACCATAACTTCACCAGAAATTACGTAAAGATTTATTTGAACGAACTGAATCACTAGATCAAAGTTAAATTTGTTATAGAATCACATCACTTTTCTGCAGGAATAGACAACAAGCCCAAACTAGTTTCCATTCATCACAAGGCAGTTTCTCCAGCTCAGTCTGTTTCACTTACTACAAGATTTGATTTTAAGAGTTATTTGTATGGGAAGATTTTTAAGTTCTTGTCTGAGACTTCTGCTGGAAGACGTGCAGCTGTTCAGATTTTCTGGCCACACTCTTAACCCTGAGTTTCTTTGATTTCCAGTTGCCTGACTTCGACGTGATAGTCCAGGACCACAGTCACAGCGCTGGAAGATTTCTGGAGCTTGCGCGGTATCTTTGTGCGCTCTCCTAGAGCAGACCTGTCCCTCCAATGGGACCGGTTTACAAATTTTAGTCCAAAAATGACGAGCACAGCAAAGTCCAGGTCCACAGTCGAAAGTTCTAAGACAGCTTTCTCCCTCTTGTCCTGTAACGAGATTGATACGGGCTTTAGTAATAAGCAGGGGGAATGGTGGCTTGTGAGGGCATGACTGGGTTAGGGCGTGGGGTGTAGGATAAGGTCGCAAAGTAAAGATAGAGCAACAGCATGCCTGGCTCCTGGGCTGAAAGCAACAACGGAGTGGACATCTCTGTCTTCCCAAACACAAGTTACTGCTTTATAAAGTTAAAACATTTATTAAAGAAAGATGGGATTTCCAGTCTTGAGACATGAAATAAGTATCACTCATCAGTGTTTTATTAAATGGGATTTGTACTGACCCAAAGAGAGACCACTACTTACACAGGGGCAATTAGCCGTCTTCAACAAACAAGAATGGCCAATTCACCACCTTCAAAATCCTAGCTGCTTTATGTCAGAGACTGGAATTTGAGACGACAATTTTGTAAAAAGCATCTTAGTGAAGTTTGTATTTTGTCCGAGAATGAAACGTTATTGCATCTATGTTCATCTCTCCTTTATTTTGTATTCTGAGGATCTAGAAAGGGAAATTTCTATTTGTTAAATTATAGGCTATAAAAAGATGTGCATATAAAATTTAATTAAACAATTAAAGTCTTTCTTGCTAACCAGCCCGTTATTATAGCTATTCCCCGTCCTCTTGGCCTGCCAACTATCTTGTGCTCTTACCCCCATGATCTCCATAGCTGTTTATGGAAAGAGATTGGAAATAGGACATGCTCCCTAGGTGCTTCCGGGGTGGAGAGGCATAAGTCAGTTTCAGCCTATCCTTAAGAGCCTAGGAGGAGAAAATATTTTTCTTAAAAAAAAAAAAAAAAAAATATATATATATATATATATATATATATATGCTTAGAATGCTGCTGTTACCCTTACTGCCTTGTGATTTTTTAATATTTGGCTTCCTCTTGGTTTGTTTTCCTGAATTGGGTGCTCATTTGTTCCTTGTGTATCTGTGTCATCTTGGTCATCGATCTGCCTCTCCAGTGTTGGGGTTGCATCTTCCATTGCAGTGCAAACATCTGAGAGACAAGCAGGTGGAGTTAGAGGATGAGAACCACAGACAGGCTCATTATCAGACTGTCACAGGGTTTGGCAGTACTTCCGCCTTCAGTTTCTGTATAACTTTCTAGATTTCCGGGACACAGGCACTAAATATTTACATCTCACATATGGCAAAGCAGGTGCTTAAGTAATTAATGGAATCTAAGTGAAAACAGAAGAACTTGAAAGATTCCAACTTGAACCCTTGCTTTAAAATCATCTCCAAGTTGCTGGCAAGTTGTTGCCGGGAAAGAAACTATTTTGCTGCATCGGGAAGAGGCAGCTGCGGAGAACCACTTTGGAGCCTTTAGAGAGTGCCTGTCGTGGAATACCCTAGTCTAAGAGACCCGGATGCTGTGTCTGCTCTTTGGGAGCGCTGCAGTCCTGCAAGTCTTCGTGCTGACTCACCGTTCACGCAGAGCGTCCCTGGGCAGCACACGGCAGCCCACTGGCACCACCTCCGTAATCCACGACAGGTAGCACAGGATGGCTTCTCATCCTGGGGTTTGAGGCAGAATTTTCTAGTGTTGCAGTCTGTGTCAGACATGCACTGTGAACCCTGTAAAGAGAAGCTGTTGTCACAGGGCTAGGGAGTCCGGCGAGATGTGAAGAGTTTTTATTCCAGGCAGGAGATGGAGAAAGCCAAAAAGAGAGGCACTTTAAACACTGAGGCAAACCTCAAGCAGCATCTTGACTTTTCGCTAGAATTGGTTTTCTTTCACAAAGGGGAGAGCAAATCACCAACGAAGAGACCTATGTGCAAAGGTTATTTGTGTCTGAAAAATTGTCCTACTTTTAAACATAGAATTTCATCTTTTATGCTCTCTGTGAAAATGGAAGAAAATGTTTTCCCACGTGTGTCTTAGAGACGGTTATGAGATTTTTGATATGTATCTAGAAGCTCTAGATGCTGTGCGATAGTTTAAAGAAGTGTTGGTGTTTGTGGCATCCCTATTTGACCGTTTTACTCCAGTGAATCACATCAGTCACCATTTGCCAAGTAGGCCCCTCAGTGGGCCAACCCAACCGTCCTTTGATTTCTAGTGATGCCTCATTTGCAGAGAAACAGGTACCGAAGACTGATTTCTCTCATCTACGGTTGATGCTTTTTCATATGTATATGAAACATTTCCTATAAAACAATTCTGTGAAGTGAGAGGGTTGGCACGCAGCATGTAACTTCTGACTCCCATATTCCCTGGCTGTGTGGCCTTGGTTAAATTCCTCAGCGTCTCTGAGCCCATTTCCGCCATCTGTCATTAGGAGATGTGACAGCTGTCTCAAGCTCTGAGGAAGAGGAGATGAGATAGTATGTATAAAAGGCCTGGCACGTGGTGTATAGCTTTCTAAATGTTAGCTTACTCCCTGATTTATAGGTGAATTGATAGCCCTGAAATTCCATGCCCTGAAAAGCCACTTGGCTCATCTGGTGAGTTAATGCTAAAGCGTCTGGATTCTTCCAGGGTGCCTTCCACAGCCTCCATCTGGCCCACTGTCTAGATTAGCTACTTCAGATGCTCATCTGCGTGATGGCTTCACTCGAGCCCAGCGCCCAGCCCTCCTCCTCTACCGAGCGTTACCTTCCGGGCTCCTTGCGCATCCACAGAGCTCTTGTTGTTGACATCCAGAACCAGGGCTCCCAGGGGGGCGCACAGCCAGCCAAGCCGCAGCAGGACCAACACCACCATCCTGGACCTTCTCAGCCCTCCCTGCGTCCTCCTCGAAGCTGGGCTGCTCTGAACCCACGATGGAGCTTTTGCCAAAATGGGAACTCGGCAAGTCGCCCTGGAATTGCTTTTTCTGAAAGAGAAGCAAATCTTCGTTGGAGGAAGGTGTGTGAAATCAGGCGAGTGAGGTCTGACCAGCGGGTTCCCTCTGAAACTGTTTATAGACGTGCCCCCTCCTTTCTCTCCTCCTCCTTCCTCCTCCCTTTCCTTCCTTCTTACCCCACACAGGCTCCAACAAATCCCCTCAAATCTGTTTGATCAATAGTTCAAAACGAGGACTCAATAGAGGGGGAGCAGAGGCAGGGCTGCAGCCACTGCTCCTCCAGGGGTTGAGCCCCTCTTAATCACTGCATATCAAAGTCAGTTCAAAGGGCCAGCGGAAGAGCAGGATGTCTGTATCAAAAGCAAACTCTGATAATCACCTGCATTTCCTACCTTCAGTAATCCTGTGAGGGTGGAGGGAGTCTGCTCTAAGATCTGTTTTCACAGCTAGTTGTGCTCCAAGAAAGGATGAAACCTGTTAGCCAATACGCTCTGTGGAATGCCAAAAACTAATGAGTTACAAAAAATATACTGAGAAACTTTACACTGTGCTCAGACAGTGAAGACAGATAGAAAAGAGACAAAATGCCCCCTGAGTGTCTCTGGTGTTCAGACGTAAAAATCCCAATAGCTTAAGAGCTGTGAATGTAACAGCACCTGTCCCGACTAAATGTCAATTGGAAAATAATTCTCCTTAAAATGAAAATGGAACTGTTTGAAGTTAGGATTATTTAATTAGGAAGATAATGATTTTATAAAAATTGCCTTTTTTTAGTGATAGGGACAACCGCAGAAAGCCCGTTTTATACAATTTAATAGGAAGTTTAGGTGTATTTTATGAGCAATGGATTTAATTTGTGTTGTATGATGTTGAAGTGACTTAAGCAGAACAGGCTTCAAGACTGTAACTCATTTCAGATGGGATTTCATGCATTTTCAAGTTTCCTAATTTGAATTTTTAAAAAATGCTTCATCCCTTTTTCTCTGATTTTTTTTTCCAGCCAGACTGTTAGCAAAGTTGAGTGATTTAGACACGTGCTTATCACTGCCTAAGTCCTTTAAGGGTAGATCTGGGTCCCCAAATCCCTTCATTGTTTGCTTTGTTCTCAGGGTAAATTCATCCCCGTACCTGGGGTGTAAGGCGCCGTTTAAAATCTACCAGTGCCCCTTATCTATGCCATCAATGGTAACCTTGGTGTTACTGGGTCTTCCTCCAAAACACCTGACATCAGTCCGTCAAGAGGTACCTGGACATTCTGTGCCAGGGGACCATTCCCAGCCTCGAGGGACACCTGGAGCCCAGTGGCCGGGGCAGGTGACCTGAGGGTCCGTTACCTGGCTCTCTTCCTGGGGTTGGATGCCTGTCCCCATCGTGTGGCACAACGGAGCTATTTCTTCTGCAAGTACTACTTGTTTTCATGTAAACTGAGAGCATCAGACACCCTTTGATAGTAGGATACTCCTGGTGACTAGGGGTGTTCCAGAATTTATTTTGAAGCTGGACAATTATGGCCAAACATAAAGGAGAGAGCCCCAGGGTTCGCCCTCTGCTGGGTTTCCCTGCTTCCTGTTACCTAACAGAAGAGAGAATACCAGGGCACCAGAGGCCTCTGGCAAAACACACAGACAAAAAGAACTGGAACCAAACGTTCATTGAGTACTTTGTACTTAACAGAACCTATGTGTAGGTGTTGGGAATAAAAGATAAAACACAGTCCTTGCCCCTGAGGGGTTAGTGTCCAAGAAGATCTACATGTAGAGATGATTTTGATATATTATAACAAGCACTAAGATAAAGATAGAAATGTGGGGCTGAAGGATCACAGAGGAGGGTGTGATTAGACCTTCTGGAGGAATGAAGGAATGCCTCTACAGAGGTGGTGACTGGTCATTTGAGCTGGGTTTTGTGGGATGAGTAGGAGTTTCCTAGGTTGAGAAGTAGGGGATGGTCTTACCCCAGGCTCAGAGGGTGAAGTGTGTGCAGGGGCAGGGAGGTGCATTTTGGTTCTAGAGAATCTGTGTGGCTGGGGCAGACGGTGGAGAGACAAGAGGAGGCTAGACTGTGAGGAACCTGATAACAGGCAAAGGACACCGGGTATTATTTCATATGCAGTAGAAAGTCATCGGGGGAATATTTGAACTTGAAAATGGCAGGATCTAATTTGCTTTTTAGGAAAGCAGTGCTGGCGGCGGTGTGGAGCTAGGGTGCAGTGGATTGAAAGCGGATGCTGGGCCAATGAAGAGAAGGATGAGGAGGCAGAGGAGGGCCAGTGTAAGGCAGTGACACGGTGACCGTGAGAACCAGCCAAGGATGGGATTGGGCACTTGAGTCCCTACCATTTGATGTGGGGGGTGGCGGGTGAGCGAGACAGAAGAGCTGAGGTTACCCTGACATTTCTAATTCCACGCACAGGTGGATGGCTCTGGCACTGAAGATGGAATTCAGGATGGAAAGCGGATTGGGGGGAAGGGTGACGCGATCGAAAGCATCAAGGCTTTGCTGGGCGTCTCAACACGGAAGGTGGGAGATCAACCCCCGTGTCGTCCAGGAGCGATGCTCCCACAGACCGAGAGGGGGGAGGATGCAGACACACCAGGTGCAGGAGGCTACAAACAGGGCAACAAAACCAAAAAGCAGGCTCCTCTCTGTCTCTGTCTCTGCTTGACTTTCTCTCGGCCTTGTAAGAGTGCAGGCTTTGGAGTCAGGCCGACCTGGTCTGAGCACAAGTCTGGCCTCCCCTATAGCCCCCGATCCCCCCACTCTCCCAGGCATCCGGCTGCCCGCCATGGTGTTTATAAAACTCTATTGTGATTGGGTATTTCTTTGTCTCTACAACGAGGTGATAAGCTCTGGGTGGGCAGGGCTGTAGCTGTTCATCTTTGTATCCTCATGCTTTGAGGGCCTGGCATATAACAGAAGCTCCATAAGTTGTTTCATGTGATGGATGGCTGCAGAGATAAATGGATTTATAGTGACTTTGTGACCTTGAACAAGGTGCTTCAACTTTCTAGGCTGTATCTACACAACTGTAAAGTGGGCACGACCTCCCCATAATGACTATATTCTGAGGGTTTAATGGGTGGATACGTGTAGAGGGCCTGGCACCATAACTGGTACTCATAAAACTCTACAAACCAATGTCCCTCACTCATTTCCAAGCCTGGACTTTCCAGCCTCACGTAAACTTCAGGACCTAGCATGACGCACGGCCCTCCCATGGAGGCTCTCAGTAGAAGTGTGTGCAACCCAACGCACCGAAGAAAAATCTCCCCCAATTAGTCTGTTATTTCTAGGTCTCCCAAAAGCCAGAGCAATTTTGAGGAACTAAATATGAGAAGTCTCCCTGGAAGGTGACTTTTGGTGTATTTTCAGATCGGCTGAGGCTGCTTGTGCGCTAATGATCGGTGTTCATCAGCCCGGATGCCCTGTGGGCACCCTTACGGCCCTAAGGCTGAGCTCAATGACTGGGGATTGGAGATGATGGAGCAGTGGGGAGAGGAAGGCTTTATTAGTGTTTCTGCTTAAAAGGCGTTTTTTTTTTCTGCTGTTAGGTCAGGGCCTGGATTTCCCAGACGCAGACAGCAGAGCACGTGCAGAGCCCACCGCCCCCACGGGGAGCCGTGGCCCCGCTAGCCACACAACGAAGGAAGCCCTCCCGTGCACTTCCGGCCAGGATGCTGCCACGGGGCGCCTCCTGGCAAGGACTGTGGGCCACCTGGCAAGCCCGCGCCGGTCCTCCTCGTGCCTCCGGGTGAAAATTCTCGAGAAGAAATTCCCCGGGGCTCCTGGTTCAGCACGGCGGGGGATGCCAGCCCCCCGGGTGACTCCTGGCCAGGGCGGAGGTGCGGCGTGGGCTGGTGTGTGGGTGTGACACCTGCATCCTCCGGGGACAGCTGCTGTAGCTCCCGGAGCTCACGGCAGAGGCGGCGCCGGGAGTTACGTTCACTCCGGAACGGACAGTTTTATTTGTTACGTCTCCTGTGTCGGCACCAGTGTGATTTCCATACACTTTGCTTTTCTTAAAAGCCAATCAAAGGAGCCGAAACAAGCGGGTCTTTGGCAGGCTCTCACGGGAAATGGTCAGTAAATGAAAGATGAGGGGGCAGGTTGATAAGGGGAGACAAAGACTGCAGGATCTGTATAATCACAGCGCTGGTGTAAGCACTGCCGCTGAGGTACCTGAGGTCAGGAGGCACGTAGCTGCCGGCCCAGGAAGCGGGTTTATCAGATGTCTTGCCCCTCAGGGCGGGCCCGCTTCCAGAAACAGCCTGGGAGACTGGGTCCTGCTCATTACCAATTGTGTGGCCTTGGCTAGCTCACGTACCTCTCAGCCTCAGCTCCTCGCGGCCAGCAGGGCTCCTCCAGACCAGTTTTCCGGGAGTGTGTGATGCCGGGCGGAGGGGGAGGAGGGGTTGGGGGGTCAGCCACCATGAGGCTCACCCCAGGGGCACCACGCAGACCGGCGTATGTGTGAGCGGCTCCCTCTGGAGTTGGCCAACCAACCACGTGGCGCTGGGACCTGCCTTTCCCGTAAGGCAGCCTCCGTTCTCCCGATCCCAACCTGGCGTCCAGCTGGAAACAGCACCAGGGGCCCTGAGCTTCCTTTGTCAAGGTTGTGCTCTGCCTTCTTTTTGCTTAAAAATATTAGATGATGTTGTGTGTGACCCGTCAATCCTAAATGCCTTGTCCACCCTACCCCATTCCTGGGCACGCTCCATACCTCTCTGTAACAGAAATCCCATGGACTAGGTGCTTCTATACGAGCTGAAGTCTGAGGTCAGGGTGCCCGTGTGGTCAGGTTTATGTCAGGCGAAGGCCTGCTTCCTGGCTCGTAAACGGCCACCTTCTCGCTGTGTCCTCACGTGCAGGAGGGGGAGAGGGAGCTCTGCGGGGCCTCTTGCACAAGGGCACGAATCCCGTTCATGAGGGCCTCACCTCATGACCTGAGAACCTCCGGAGGCCCCCCTCCTAACACCATCACACTGGGCGTTAGGATTGCAACATGTGAATCTGGGGACACAAGTGTTCAGGCCACAGCAGGGCTTTTCCTCCTCTGCGTCCTGCAGTCCCTGACACACTCGTGCTACACGAGACACAGAGGTGGGGGTAGTGACAGCAGATGCTGCGATAAAAAGGCAAGAAAAGGTTTGTAAAAAGCTGGCCGTATCTCAATACACATTCGCTGGAAACAGCGTCTCTCGTCTTAGGTCACAGCAGGAGTCAGCCTGTTGGGACAGTGTCGGCACCACTCTGACTCGGGGACCAGACGTCCTTTCACCAATGCCACTGAGGGTCCCAGCAGCCTGCAGTCCCCATGTGTGGGCGATTTGGGGTGGTTTCTTTTTCAGCTGGATTACATTTATGTTTCCAGAGGAGATCACGAGGCCCTTTCAGCCCCTTGGTTCTATGAAACTCTCATGTGGAGCACCGACTTGGAAAGCAAGGTATTTTCATAGAGTCCAGTTTGTTTTATTCTCTTTACTGACTGTAGTTTAATAGTAAATACACTGCAGGGAGGAGGGCAGAAACCTATAAAATTGAGTGGAGGGCTTCCCTGGTGGCGCAGTGGTTGAGAGTCCGCCTGCCGATGCAGGGGACACGGGTTCGTGTCCTGGTCCAGGAAGATCCCACGTGCCGCGGAGCAGCTGGGCCTGTGAGCCATGGCTGCTGAGCCTGTGCGTCCAGAGCCTGTGCTCCGCAACGGGAGAGGCCACAACAGTGAGAGGCCCGCGTAACGCAAAAAAAAAAAAAAAAAAAAAAATTGAGTGGAATTCAACCTCCATTCTTCTTTTCATTTCATCGTTTTCCTTCTACACTTTTGTCCCCCGCATTCTTCTTCATTTGAGTCTTTCTCTTTTGCCTCATGTTTTTTCATTTTCTTATTGTCTCCTCCCTCTGCATCCCTATAACTAACCCCGCTTATTCCTCTTTTCCCTTGTGTCCAGTCCTAGGCAATGGTGTTCTGGTGGCCCTCAGAGCCTGGGGGCATGGTCACCTGACCTGAGGATCACCCCGTGGCAGCCGTCCAGGCCAGGGTGGGTGAGGGGGGGGTGTGATCTGTAAGCAGGAGTGGTGTCTCTAAGTGGGAGGCTGGAGGGTTGTAGAGGAAGGAACGAAGGCCCCCCTGCGACACTGCGTATGACTTTGAGGGACAGAGAGTGGACCCCTGCGGCGGTCCGCACATCCCAGGACACCTGTTTCAGGGAAGGAGCGTGCAAAGGGGAATCCTCCAGCCTGCAGACAAGATGGATTCTGCTGTCTTTGGGTTTGGACCCTACCTGGGGTCTGATTCTTTTTCCTCGAAGGTAGGGGGTGAATCCCATAGTGTTAGGAGATCCCAGACCTGCCTGGAGTCCCAATTCTGAAGACACAAATTTTTCTAAATGAATGGCTCTGGCAACTATAGTTAACAATTCTGTACTGTGAACTTGAAAGTTCCTGTGAGAGCAGAGCTGTAATGTTCCCACCGTAATAAACAACAACAAATGGTAATTATATGAGGTAAAGGACACCCTTAACCAACCTTACTGTGGTAATTATATTTTGCAATATATATTTGTATCAAATCATCACACTGTACACCTGAAACTTACACCGTGGTTCATGTCAATCACATCTCCATAGAGGTGAGGTGGGGTGGTGAATGGCTGCCCTGAGCTCTGCACACACGGGCTCCCGAGTCCCCACTGGAGGGGTGGGGCTACAGGCCTCGCCTCTCCTGGGGTGTTCTCCAGGGGCCCCTAGCTGTAGACTCCCTCCCTGCAGCCCCTCCGCACCCCTTCAGGTGAGTCTGTGTCTGGCTCCTCCAACGTCCTGGGGCTTGTGATGTGTGCGACTCACTGGCGTGATCTGGCTCTGGCCCAGGGTGAACCCTGGTGTGTGGTCCAAGCCTCCTCAGAACTTTGGCCACAGAAAGCCATCTGGTGGAACCCCCTGGGTGGGCCCCATCTGGACGGACGGTGTACTCCTGGGGATCTCCGTTTTAAAGATGAAGACACCAAGGCTCAGAGAGGTCAAGTAGCTTGCCCAAGGTCACACAGCCGGTGAGTTGCAGACCTCGGATTTAACATAAGTTTTCTGGTTCCAAAGTTGATTCTTCCCTCTACACCACAGTATACAGCTCACTAACCTAAGGCCATTCCCCAAAACATCAAGTTGCCTGAAACACAGCTATATATTCACTAAGGGGACATTGCCTATTAACTATTTTTAGGTTCCATAGGAGTATGCCATCCTCTTTTTTCTTAATTTATGTTTCACGTATAAGTGATCATAGTGCTTCACTAGCAAGTGATTAAGAAGAGCTAATTTGCAGGTTGTGTCAGCCAGGCTGTACCCTAATCCACATGCGGAACTTTGACAAAATTGGTTTCCTCATAAAAACAATTTGTAAATATTTGCTGCCCTTTTGACATTCAACTTGGACTCTCACTTGGGTAGGAAAGCCCCCATAATTGTGTTCACAACCGTATGGAGAGCTTGGATGAGGCTCTGGGGGCAAGGGGAGGACAGGGGTCATCACCCTGACTCGAGTCCCAAGCCCCCTGCCCACCAGCAGGGTTAGCTACTCTTTACCTTGGTTCCTTGCGCCCCCTTGTGGCCAAGAGTGAAGGGAGCTCCCAGAAAGCCCAAAATAAATTCCAGGGACTGATCCCAGAGACATTTCCAATTTTGGATGGAAATTGCCCACGGAACAGCATGCCCTTCTCATGAACCTAGGTACTTCCCCACCTTATGAAAGTGAGTTTAAATTTTCTGATTATAACAGAAACACGTCTCCAAATTTTAGAAATTTTGGAAAATACAGAATAGTGTGAAGAAAATAAAAATCACATATACCCTGACCCAGCAGAGATAGTCACTATAAGATTTTGGAAACATTTTCCCGATTTTTTTCTATGTACATACATATACACACACATATACAGCATCTGTTTATTATATATACATATATATATATATATTATGTATTATTAATCTATCACCAGTCCAGAATTAGCCATTACTAAAGCCTACATCTACCCATGTGGGCCCCCTCTACCCAGTCTCTCTGTCTGCCCTGCTTCTTCTTAAAGTAAAACTGTAACACACACACACACACACACACACACACACTCACGGAATTACACTGTACTTAAACTTTTGTTTCCTTCCCCCTTTTTTTAACTGAGGCTTTCCCCCAGATCATCAAATATTATCAGAACACACGGCTGTACCATATCCCAGAAGATGGGTGTATTATAATTTAATGAATCCTCTAAATGTTGGCCATTAAGTTGTTTTTAATTTCTTACTACTGTAATTCATTCAAGCTATTCAAGATGAACCTTTGCACGAGTCTGTTTCCTTGAGAAGAGTCCTCAGACATGGAATTTCAGGGTATGATATACACCCTCAATATACAATAACACAGTCTTGGATGTCTGTCCCTCTGCACTGCAAGCCATGCCCCTCTTGTCCACCTGACCCATCCCTGGCACAGTGAGGCACTTTCACCACTGGGTCCCTGTGCTCTGCTGCCCCTTTGAGGAGGCCCAGGGATGGGGCTGGTCCCTCCGCTTCTTCAAAGATGCCAAGGGGATCCTCACCCTTCATCAGAATTCTGAAGTCCTTGAAAACAAACAAGTGGGCCCTTTTTGCTTTAAAGAAACAGGGAATTAAATAACACCGCTGGCTTCAGAATCTTAATTTTCCTTACACTTAGGGCAATCGAGCTACTAAATCTTCACAGTGGGGTTTCTGTTCTTAGGGTGTTTTTTTTTTCTCATTTTTGAGGGTAAAACTATACTAACCTTCTGAGATTTTCTCTCAAAGGTAACACAGGCAGACAATCAGGTTACCTTGACTACAGCAGGTGACCTGTGCTGGGAGCCTGCTCACCAGGGCCTCTGGACGCACACAACACGGATGTGTCTGGGCGTGTGCTCATCCATCAGCTCTGAGCCTGGTGTCCTGTACGCAGTAAGCACGTAGCAAATGTCTCACAAACGAAGGAGTCCAAAGCCCCTTCCCTGCCCTAAAATTCTGGTTCTAGACATTTTATAGGAGAAGAATGCCAGGTGATTAGAAGTTGGACTGAGAAAGTCCTTTCTATGCTTCCCAAGAGCTTAGAGCCCATTGTGGGTCGGGGGTGAGCAATGGCTGTAGATTGGAGGCGGCAGAGGCTAGAGGCTTGATATGGACGTTGAGGGGTAACGTGGATCCTGATAAGCCGGCGGGGCCAGAGAGATAGCAAGCAAAGGAATGATTCCCTCTGCAGCCGCCGTTTTCCTTAACAATTTCTTTTACCACCTTCCTGCATCAGGTGCTGGGAGAAAGAGGAGGTCTTTTGGTGCATGACCTGGGACTGGTGTTATCAGTTCCCTTCAGAAGAAAGGTCTTTGGATAAAGAAGCCCAAGGAAGGAACGTTGCCAAATTCCCATTCAAAGTGCTCTTTACAGCCTTCAATGGCCTGTTGTACCCGACAAAGTCCAGGTCTGTGCCAAACTACAGGCTGAAGTTGTGGCTCTACTATGCATATGTATGTGAATAAACGTAGTTTTGCCTGTACAGCTTTTAATCACTTATAGCATATTTTCATCTGTGTTATTAACTAATGAACATTTTCCATATGTCAGGTAGATTGTTATGTGCTCTGGATACATTATTTTCTTTACTATTCACTACAATCCTCTGAAGTAGACCTTATTTAGTTCTGTTTCACAGATGTAGAAACAGAGGCATAGAGAGGTTAAGTTGCTCGCCAAACACCACAGAGTTGGCAGATGTGAGATACAAACCCAGCCTCTTTTGACTACAAAGCTCATTTTGTTTAGCCTACTGAGTTCTATTGCTTTGTTGATGACATTTATCATCTTCTGCCTCATTCAGCAGGTATTTGTCCAAGTCTTACATTATGAGTCCTTTGGGAGCATGTATCTTATCTCTTATTAGCCTGAAATGCCTTACACACAGCAGGGAAATAATCTTTGCCTCTTGATTCAAGCAGCAACCTGGTACCAGGAACTGAATATCAAAGACTTTGTGGGGTTTTTTTCTTCCCAACTTTTTATTTTGAAAAATTTTAAACTTATCGGAAAGTTTCAAGAATAATGCAACGAACATCCACATATGCTCCACCTAGCTACACCATTTGTTAACATTTTGCATGTTTTTTCCCTTGACCATTTGAGAGTTAGTTGCAGACACATGCTATTTCATGCCTAAATACTTCAGCACGTACCTCCTAAACACCAGGCCATTTCTGCATAATCAAGGTATAATCATCACTCTCAGAAAATTTTACATGTTACAATACTACTATAGTCGACATTCAAGTTTTCTCAGTTGACCCAAGAATGATCCTCAATAGATGCTTTTTGTTTTTATTTTTTGATGCTTTTTGTTTTTTGATCCTGGGTGCAATTTAGAATCACATTGGTCTTGGAGTCCTATCTTTGTCTCCTTTAATCGAGAACAGTTCACTAGCCTTTTTCTTAATATTTCATGAAATTTACATTTTCGAAGAGACCAGGTGGTTGTTTTGCAGAATGTCCCTCAATTTGGATTGTCCCTCAATCGGATTGTTTCCTTGTGAATAGAGAGAAGTCACTTTTTTGGCAAGAATGAGCATGTGATGTCAGTCTGTACCATCCCTGGTGATGTCAAGTTTGATCACTCGATTGAGGGTGACTTCTTTGATGTGAAGGTACCCTTTTCTCTTCACTAAGTAACCTGTGGGATGACACTTTGGAACTGTATGAATATCCTCAACCGTCCAGCATCTATCGATGAATTTTGCTTGAATCAGTTATTGGTGGCTCCAAAGTGGTGATTTCCTATTTCTATAATTTCTTCTACACTTATGAGCTGCAGTTCGTCTCTGAAGGAGAGCTTTCCCGCCTCCATCTCCTCTCTGCCTTTGAAATATCATTTACCCTGTGTCATCCTGAATAAGTCACGTCACTTACCCCCTCGGGACTTATTTTTCTCATCCTTAAGACGAGATGACCTAAGGGCCACATTCTTGAATTTTAGTCACCCTTACACGAAATCCCCATACAGATCTGCCAGGCATCCGCCAGAGAAGAAGACGCCGTGGTCGGCTGTGCCAGCATCCACTGCGGAGTGGCTGGTACCGCCGCATCCGCCGCCGCGGCCCCTCCCCTGGCAACGGTAACTAGTAGTCTCCGCGCCTTCTCGCGAGAGCGGGCCCCTCGCGGACAAAGGTGCGGTCGCGCGGCCTGCGCGCCCCACGTCAACCTCCGCCCGTCCCTGCGCGCCGGGCCCTGCCGCGCACGCGCGCACTCGGACGGTTGGAGATGTAGGTCCGCCTCGGGCCTGCCGCGCGCGACCCCGGCGCGACACTCCGGCGCAGCCGCGACGCGGGGCTCGGGGCGCGCAGGCGCCGCGGGCGTGGGGCCGCGCAGGCGCGGACGGCGTTGCTCTGAAGACTTTCTTCGGTGCCCTGGCGGAGCGGGCGCGCCCTCCTGGCTGAGCGGACAGGTCCTCCCGTCGGAGGTGAGGCGAGCCGGGGCCTCGGGCCGGCGGCCGGGCGGGGGCGGGGCGACCGGCAGGGCCCTGCGGGAGGAAGGGCCGCCTAACGGGGCGCGGGCCAGCGGGCGGGGTCGGCGGGGACCGGCCCCTCGGGTGATGCACCGCCGCGCCGCCACCTGCTTGCGCCCGGCCGGTCCCCAGGACTCTCCGGGCGTCAGGCCGGACGGGAGGTTGGTTTCGAGGGAAGTCGGGTCCTCGAACCCCGAACCCACCCCCGCCCCCGGCTTCCTCCCTGGCATTGGAGTCCACCATCAGGGGGGCTCTTCCACTCCCTGCCGCCGAGGGGAGGATGCTGAATGTGCACCTTCAAGGGGCGAGGCGAGCTGACGGTCCCGTTAGTAATCGTGTGAAGCTGGGTTATAACTAACGACTGCGGCTCCTGCAACCCCGGTGCGCTGTGCGTGCCCACGGACAAGTGCATTTGTAGTCATGGAAATGTGCGGAACGTGTCGTCTCTGGGGCTTCTCGAGTTTTTGCTTGATCATACCAGCAGTGCACTTCCCATCAGGATCCTGGGCCTGAAAAAGTAAGCTTGAACTAGGTAAAATTGAGGTCCAACCCCCTACACGGCTTTTGCAAAGTGTCTGGCAGGTCGTTTTGAAAAAGAAGGAAAATGCTAAAAGACTGTAATGGGTCCCTGGATGGATGTTTCTAAACATTTAAGTGTATCTTTTCTCTTGTCAGTAGAGAAAAAACCAGACTGTAAAGCCTTAACATTTCTATTTGAATACGTAGTGCCTGCATTTTGGGAAACATTTCAACAGATACCGGCATCGGTTGTGATCATAAAGAGTAATATCAGATTGCAGTTGGCAATGTGTAAAAAGCCTAAAATTGATCCTTTGAATACAAAGGACTGAATTGTAAATCAATTGCTCTGGGAGTGAACTACGAAACCTTGTGGCTTAGAACAACAAAGCTTTAGGATGGCCATGAGTCAGTACATTTATCTCCTCTCACCTTTACGCTTTCTTCTTAACTTTATGTATATTTTAATACTCTGTTCTCTTAACATATCCTAATATCTGTCATATTTGACAGGTTTAGGTTAAGGGACAAATTTTAAGTGAATTCACAATTACGAAGTGCACCATAAAGTGTGTGTAGTGTTAAGGAGTGGTGGGATAGGCAGAAACTTAGCAGCAGGCCAGACTAAGAGCTCAGCCAAATAGAAATAAATACCTTCGGTTGTGTAGGTGGTTCAGGGGCTAGCTGGTGCTCTGGATGTTTCTGGTGTAGTAATGGGGCCAGTGGGGTTGCTTGAGGTGGTTCTACGACCTGTTGGATGTGGCTGTTGAGGCTGCTGCAGGAAGAGGTTTCCCGTGGTGCACAGGGCAAAGGAGTGGTATGTTCAGCAGTGTCAATAGGCCTGAGATTTTGATGTGAGGGTCATCTTGACAGTAGAAAGGCTGGCTGAATACTAAGTAGGCAAGATGAAAAGTCAAGCCCCTTGGGTTTTGAAGGCTGTAACTTTAGAGTGTATACTGATTTGGGGGAGCAGACCGCTGCATGTAGACCCTGTCCTATATCTGGTTACTAGGTAAGATTATAGCACTTTATTTTAAGAAGAGTTTTGAGAGAGGGCATACTCTGGGTGAATACATTTCAATTAGTGTGGTAATTCTTAAGAACTGAATGTCAGAGTGGCAAAAACGGTAACCCTGAAGATGTTTAATTGCATCTGTTTTACAGATCCTCAGAAAATTTACCTTGACATCTTACACAGCTCTTTGGCTTTATAACAGCCTGAGAAATGTTTTTCTAATGTACATTTTTGCATTTTTTTAAAAAGTAAAAGTCCAGTTTAACAGAGCATCTCCTTCAGCCTGGGAGAAATTTCTTTTCTTTGCAATGCAATCAGAAAGATGACCTTTGTGAATCTCATGAAAAACCCTTTTATTCTCTAGCATTCTGGAAAGCTCTTTTTAAAGGAGCAGCATGCTTTCTCTTAACTTGGCTTGCATTAGGGCATAAGCATTAATGACACAAAGGAAGAAAAAACTATATACCTCTTCTCACAGAACTAAACAGCTGAACAGTGAATAAATACTAAATAGTTACTTTTATTCCCTTGTCCTCATTTTTCTTTATAAGATATGTGTAACACACCGACTTACTGTGACCTAGGAAAGGCTGCCAAGGATGTCTTCAACAAAGGATATGGTAAGTATGCTATTGTGAATTGCCAATCTGGGGGTAAGCATTCGTACTGAATGCCTACTATATGGGAGAGACTGTGCTTAGTAAAATGAGGTTAAGTCAGCATTAATCTATTTTACAAGATTTAAGGGGATCACCATTAGCAGGTTACTAGACTTCTGTTTTTAGAGGTAGAGTCCCACAGGCATTAAAAGCTGTTGTGTACATTAACACATACATAGCATTTGCGTATTTAATATTATCTGTTGGGTGAAATCATATAAATCTGTAATATGTGTGCCTCCTTTGGTTAGCCCTGGGGACAGCTAACGTAGGGGGTGTAGCTTTCCTCCTCCAAATAATGGCAGTATTTTCACGAGGGTGAAGACACAGCTTTTGACTTCTTTGGAGGAACATACAGTGTTTGAAAGCAAGTGGACATTTAGTTTTAAAAATTTAGTCTTTGCATTTTTAATTTTTTGTGCTGTACACATTTGATTTTTTATTAACTAGTAATGTTAATTATATATTTTAAGCTTGTATATATATATCTGCATAATTTCTAATAATTTTGGTTCTTAAAATAGTACATATTCCTTTCATCCATTTTTTTTTTAACTTATATTTTCAAAATATGTCTTTATTATTTTGAGGGAACTTAAAAATTAAACTTAAGTTATTTTGTTATAATTCAATTCCTTGTGGAACTCTCACCTAACAAGAATACTGAGTACTTTCCATGGAATGTACTATGGACTATTTTCATAATTTCTAAGTTGCAAAGACTGGAGTGCATGTCACATTTTGTACATTAATGTGTATTTCTGTGTGTGTCTAGGATTTGGCATGGTCAAAATAGATCTGAGAACCAAGTCATGTAGTGGAGTGGTAAGTACTTAATATATATATATATATATATTTTTTTCAATCAATTAATTAATTATATTTTTGGCTGCGTTGGGCCTTCGTTGCTGCACGCAGGCTTTCTCTAGTTGTGGCAAGCGGGGCTGCTCTTCGTTGCGGTGCACGGGCTCCTCGTTGCGGTGGCTTCTCTTGTTGCAGAGCACAGGCTCTAGGTGCACGGGCTTCAGTAGTTGTGGCTCGCGGGCTCTAGAGCGCAGGCTCAGTAGTTGTGGTGCATGGGCTTAGTTGCTCTGTGGCATGTGGGGTCTTCCTGGACCAGGGATCAAACCCGTGTCCCCTGTATTGGCAGGTGGATTCTCAACCACTGCACCACCAGGGAAGGCCCTTAATATATTTTTAATAGATGTAGCATAATTAAGTTAAAGAAACCTGTTTAAAAATCATTGTTTAGTCAAGTTACTTGAAACGGCATACTTTTGGTGCTATGCTGTCTTCCCTACAGCTTTGTCCTGCTCTCAGATTTCAGTGAGCTGCCCAGCCACTTGAGCCCAAGGACAGTCAGGTTGAATTTGGGGGGAGACCCTTTGTGTTTGTCATAATAAGAGTATTCTGAGTCTTATTCTCAGAAGATACAGAATATATGTATACATATGTATGTATATATATATATATATATATTTTTGACCCATGCCATATCTTTATATGTATACATATGTATGTGTATATATATATATATTTTTTTGACCCATGCCATATCTTTATATGTATACATATGTATGTGTATATATATATATATTTTTGACCCATGCCATATCTTTATACTTTCATGAATATGTATATGGACACTAAAATCTTTGCTTCCCTTGTATTGGGTTCATGCAAATTTTGTTGCCCTTTTACAAAAACAAATTAATTTTAGTCTCTGTCCCTTCATGATTAGTTGAAACAAATGTAGAAATGCATGTAGAAGATTAGTCTACAGTTTTTATTAATGTTCATAAAGTCTTTTTTACTGGAAGTTAAGAATATGGTAAAGGATATATCAGTGTATTATCAAAGCGTCACTAACCAGAGCTTTCTTTAAGTAAGTCTCAGCAAATAGATCAACTTTACCCTCACCTTATTCTCTGATTTCTCTTTATTGGCTGCATCTTTTTTGTTTGGTATTTACCTATTCAAACCAGCGCAAATTTTATTTCTGGATATAATGATTAAATTAGAAGGGCAAGAAGCATGTGGAGTATTTATGGTACTTTGTCTTATGCTTCATATAGTCCTGGTTTGTCACTAAGATTCTTTCCCTGGGTTTTCTAGTAGTGAATAAATATGTATGCAACTCCCCTACTAGGATGGGATTTTGTTATATCACCTATTAAATTAGAAAAGTTATACTCATTTTGATTAGTACTTCAGAATTTGCTCAAGGTAGGTTTGTCTTGCAAAAATCAACAACTAAAATTTTATCTCCCTTTCATGCTGCTGTTGTGTGTGAATATTCATTCAGATGGTAAGAGAAACAGTGTATTTGTGTGCTTGTTTTTATGGCTGCTTTTGTTCTCTGGTACTGATTCAGGGTAAATTTCATCCACTGCTCCAAATTTTCTTGATCGTATCTTGGTATTTTTATGATATGCCATCTATAACGGTAACATTTTCATGATTGTTTTGTTGCATACTAGCATTTAATGCAGAACCGTAGATGTTATAAATATATTTTGCACTGTTTGAGCTAATTATGAAATTAGACAAAAACTGAAGCAATTGTGAGCCTGGAACTCAACTTAGGAAAATTCTAGCCTTTTCTTTGAGATTTGTACCTCTGGCATTTTAGACTTTTGACAGAGCTTCAGACTAAGAAATGATGATGATAAGAAAGAAATATAGACTAAATACTCTTTTACCTTTATTTTTTGCACCAAAATTAAGGTTTATATTTGCTATACTTGCAAGTTTATGAAAGGTAAATGTGAAAAATGAAACACTAGGTAGCTGGATCTACTAAAAGAAAGTGATGTGAACTATTAAACGTGACTAGCATTTTATCGTGTTTTACCAAGGCCTTGCCCTTAGTGTGCAGTGTGATATTCTCTTTGAAAACTTTCTGCGTGGTGTAGATAAACAGATCACAGTTTCCCAGTTGTTTCATCAGCCTGTAGAACGAGCGTTAGGGGGCAGGGTTGGCAGGGTTTCTTTACTGTTGGCAGTATTTCAGAAATGTTCTTTAAAAACAGGGCCAATCAGAAACGTTTTTTCTTGACAGTTCATAGATTGACAGTGACAGGTGTTGACTGTTTGCTTCCCCTAGAAGGAGATCTATTTCTAATTGCTTATTGTCATATGACTGAGGGACACCTAACTGGGAGGAGGATATATTTTAAGGCATTCATAGTAACTATTTGACAGGGAAGAGGGATAAGTTACAACATTCCATTTTCTTGTGAAAAATGGGTACTTTCAATTATTGAAATTGTGTACGCTGATAGTCTTATGGATAGTTTTGTGGACAAAAGCAATAAAGTTTTTATAACAGTGTGAATGTACTTAATGCCAGTGAACTGTACACATAAATATGGTTAAAATGATAAATTTTATGTTAAGTGTATTTCACCACAATAAAAATAAGGCTTTTTAATGCATTAAAGTTCTGGCCCTATTAAAAGGGGGCAATCTAGGGCTTCTAGTGTTTGGGGATTTTTAAGGACTTTAAAGTTAACTAATAGTTCACAAGGTACGATAGAGAACTGATAGTCTTTTTCGTGTCATGAAAGTACATATTTAAGATTCAATATTTTTGTCTTTTTAGAAAAGGCATTTATTTTCAGTAAAGATATTTTTCTTTTAAAAGAGAGATTCCCATTTAGTAAGAGAGTATATGGCACAGAAATATCAGTAAGAGAGGTGGAGTAATGGGAAGATGCAAGACTGGTTAAAATATTTAGAGACTGGAAAGAAGGAAGGAAAGCAGGAAATAAGTTGCTGCAGAGTAGGGCTGTGGTAAAAAGTAAGTTGTGTTGGTTTCTGCTACATTGAACATTACTTTCTGGAATGAATATTTTCTATCTCATAAGCTGATTTTAAAGTAATTATTTTTTCTTACCAGGAATTTTCTACTTCTGGTCATGCTTACACTGATACAGGGAAAGCATCAGGCAACCTAGAGACCAAATACAAGATTTGTAACTATGGACTGACCTTCACCCAAAAGTGGAACACAGACAATACTCTTGGGACAGAAGTCTCTTTGGAAAATAAGGTAAGAGAGCGTTGGAAGATATTTGTAGGGTAAAATTATCTTGGGGATAAAATGATGAACAAATCCCAAATATAATTTGAGATCTTGCAACCCTGTCTAGTTTTCGTATTTTTTTCTCTGCATGTGGCCTTCTTTGGTATGTTTTATGTTTCTAGAAAGTAAGGTTTTGTTGCTGTGTACATAATTATGATATCTTTTGTTCTGACCAGTTCTATAATACTTATTGTTACACAGCTGAGCCTCTCCTGAGTAGACCAAGCTATTTGTAGTGATCTAATTTAATTTTGTTTTGTAATCATTGCAAAATTGACTCCACAGAAAAATGTTTCTAAAATTCTTTAATGTTTTCAAAGAGAACATCTTCCAGCAGTTGTCAAGTGCCTGCTACATTCAGGGCACTAGTTTTTGAAGTATGTTTATTTGCACATTACCATATATAGATAATGCATACGTATACATAGCTGAATAAATTACTTAGGTTGGCTTGTTAAATGTCCAGTTACAATAATTTCAAGAGAGTATCACAGTTATTTTGTTGTATTGGGATTTTCTGGTTTTGTACTCTCATTTACATTATTGGCTATAACAGGATTTGACCTGTATGTTTTAGCCTTTTTTTGGGTGAGAGAATCATGATGAAGCCTGGGGGTGAGGGGAGTGGGATAGGGGGCAGGGAAGGAAGAAGAGGAAATTTATTAAATCATTTAATATTTGGCTTTCTTTAATGACTTTCTTATTTGTTAGGAAGTTAGAGAAAACTTTAGAATTGGTTTTTCAAGTCAAGAAAAGAATCAAAAATTGCTGATTGTTAATTTGAAATCTTTATTTTTCAGTTGGCTGAAGGGTTGAAACTGACTCTTGATACCATATTTGTACCGAACACAGGGTAATTATCCCAACCCCATTTTCTGAAATGGTCTTGTGGCTTGAAGGGATAGAGGGGTCTAGGGCAGGGAACTGCAGGAGGAGCTCTGGAGGTGAGGGGCACAGAGACCTGTGTGTGCAGGAGGGAGGGAGGGACCCTCCCTGAGGACACTCCCTATGTGACACTCAAAGAGGCACCTAGTAGAAAAAATGTAGGAGCTAGAGGGGTCTGAGACGAGATATTTTTTAAGCTGTCCTGAAGATTCACGGATGTGATGTCTTGCTGAGAAGTTAACATCTTAAGAGAAGAGTGTAGTCTCCTGGCACCAGAACACTGCAAAGAATAGTTCCGCTTACTTGATTTCTTAGCCTTTATAAATCCCCCAACTTCTCTGACTCAGTTTTTTCATCTGAAAAATGGGGATTATGTTGTTTCCTACCTGCCTCTCTCTAAAGGACAGGTGCTCGATGGGGGCCACGTGGCATTTCTCCTCCACTGTAACAGCAGGCGTGTCCTTCCTGCTACACACCTGTGTTGTCTTCAGGACAAGCACAGGACTATTAAGAACTGATTTCGTGTTTTCAGTATTGTCCTTCAAAAATGTACACTTCTGTTCCATCCATCTAACATTGTCCAGGGAGAAAACACTGGCCTAAGGAAAATAAATATGCTTATTAAAAAAAAAAAGTACACTTCTCTCTATGACAGGTTAATAGTTTAGAAGTTTGTCGGGCATTACCTTTTGTAGCATTTGGAAACATTTAAAGAAATTTGGTTTCTTATATGTCTGTATACATATACATTCAGATTATTAATTTGGTACTGAAATATCTTACACCTTTTTATACTTATGCTTTCATGAAATTAATCATGAAATACCCTATCATTTGAACTTACAGCGAGGAATAGGTAAAAAATAGTATATATATTTCTAATCCTAACAAAATTACATTTGTAGAGCTGTCATTTGAAACATTTTTACTGTATATGGGCCACCTGCCAAAACAGTATTTACATTATGGGAGAGGAGGGATCTTACTCTAAAAATTTCTGGACAGCAGTGAAAACTTGTGCTGTTTTCATTTGTTTTTTTTTACAGAAAGAAGAGTGGGAAATTGAAGGCCTCCTATAAACGGGATTGTTTCAGTCTTGGCAGTAATGTTGATATAGATTTTTCTGGACCAACCATCTATGGCTGGGCTGTGTTGGCCATTGAAGGTTGGCTTGCTGGCTATCAGATGAGTTTTGATACAGCCAAATCCAAACTGTCACAGAATAATTTCGCCCTGGGTTACAAGGCTGCAGACTTCCAGCTGCACACTCACGTGTGAGTATTCACGGTTCAGAGTTCCTCCTTTAGTGCCGGCACAGTCGCCCAGAGGATGGTAGCCATTAGCATGTGGAGAAGGTTGGATGGGGTGGTGCTGGCATGACGTCATGCCTTGGTGGACATACAGCTACACTGTGCCGCTCGTAGTCGGCAAAGCACTGCAGAGTTAGTGCACTTGGCGCTGGTGTTGTGCTGCTGGCAGTTGCTGGCCTCTGAGCCTGTACCCCAGCCACTGGGATGGAGAGGGCCCGGGGCAGGGGTCACCTCCTGATAGAAGGGATCCTTTGGAGGCGTTCCTGCTTCCTCTGGTTCCCTGTTCATCTTGTCAGTTTCTAGAAGCAGGTCTGTTAGGATCATGAACAACCCCCTAATTGATCTGAGCGTCCTGGAGCATCCCCAGTATAATTCTCTGGAGGTTTTCAGGTACCCTGGTCAGAACCAGTTACCTGGGTTGTATTCAGAAGTAGCAGAAGTCCTCAGAGCAGTCCTGGGTTCAAGTCTGTAGGCTGCAGCCTGGTGGTTACATGAATTTGAACTTATAAACTGTATTTTATGTCTTGGCCTACTGGGCATTGCTGCTGTCCCAGGAAGAAAAGCAAAGGATCAGCTCTGTGTTTTTGAAGTGTTAGAGATTGCTTTCCACTAGACAGTCTGTTCCACTTAAATAAAGTCGCTAGTGGTGTAGAAAGAGGCATTGAAATTGATGAAACAGTATTATGAAAACTCAGGGACTGACTGCTGAGGTGCTCTGAAGCAATATGTCGTGTACTTCCCTGGGGCCATGCACTGTAGCTATTGTCTGGAGGGTGCTTTCTAATGCTAAGATTGTGTTTTGAGTGAAATCCAGAATTGGCTTGTACTACTATATATTTTTTTTTGCAGAATCTTTATATAACTCTACTTTGAAGTTTCTAAATACTGTGAACATGTCAGAGACATACAGATCATACTTACTTGAGGTGACTGCCTTTGTGCATAATTGAATTGTGTCTAAGAAATTCATGTCTTGTGGAGGAGCCAAGTAAATGAGTCAGATGTTACTGTGCTTTAATTGGGTGGCTATAAATCACATAACCGGTTTGTTTGGAAGTCTGTTGTGCTAGAAGTCTGCTGAAGTCTGTAGCTGTAAAATAAGACCCGATTTAGTCAGTCTTAGAATTTGTTGCCATATTGTAACAAACTAGATATTTATGACTTTTCTTACGCTGTGAAAACAGGAACGATGGCACTGAATTTGGAGGGTCGATCTACCAGAAGGTGAACGAGAAGATTGAAACATCAATAAACCTCGCGTGGACGGCTGGCAGTAACAACACCCGTTTCGGCATCGCCGCTAAGTACAAGCTGGACTGTAGAACTTCTCTATGTGTAAGAATGTGCTGCAGATTGGGTCTGCTCTTAGGGTTTCGTCTAAGTCGTAAATGGATGCTGTGATGTGGTTGTAGTTTGCATGTTCTTTATTAACTTTGAGCTACTCATTGTGTAGTGAAAAGAGCATATACCTGAAGTCAGGAGCTGTGGGTTCTAATCTTAGTTCCTTCTGTATTTGTTGTCTGACCTAAAGTCATTTTATCTCTTTGGCCTCAAAATTTTCTTATCTGTAAGTTCCTGGGTTTCAATTACTATTCCTGTTGCCATTGGTAATTCTTGTTAATAACACTAATTGAGCTCTTAAATTTCAGGTCCTATGCTAAGACTTTATGTGTATTATCTCATTTAACCCTCACAACTAATTATTGGATGAGTAGTATTGCCCTCATCTGCATTTTATAGATGAGGGAGCTGAGACTTAGAGAGGTCAGGTAACTTGCCCAAGGTCACACAATAAGAGACAGGTGCCAAGATTTGATCCCAGATCTGTCTCTCACCAGAGTTCATGCTCATACCACTGTCGGAGGCTGTAAAACTGGTAACTCAAAAGAATTCAGTTCACAGGAGGGATGTTTGGCTGCACAGTGTTTTAAAATTTTGCTCGAGGCCTTTAAGCATGCATTCTCAAGGTCCCCTCTGTCCTCTACTGACTTCTTAAAAGATTTATCTTTTATTAATTAAGTTTTCAGTTTTACTAATTCTGGATTGGTCCTAAGGTGTTTCAGCTTTGGAAATCTGATGCATGGAGTGGTTATGTTGGACTTACATATTATGAAATTGATTGTTCTCTAACTGTTTCTATTTCATCTCCTAATCTTAGGCTAAAGTGAATAATGCCAGCCTGATTGGACTGGGTTATACTCAGACCCTTCGACCAGGTGAGTAAAGGAGTGAATAACTATGGGCTAGGGGTAGAAGGTGATTGAGGAATAATGAAAAGAACCTACAGACAACCTGCAATCACTTTAGGTTGATTCAGACCGTTTTGTAACATTTGGTTGTTCGAAGTAAAACAGATTGAGCACTTTTGTTTAAAAAAATATTTTTGGGGGCTTCCCTGGTGGCGCAGTGGTTGAGAGTCCGCCTGCCGATGTAGGGGACACGGGTTCGTGCCCCGGTCCAGGAAGATCCCACATGCCGCGGAGCGGCTGGGCCCATGAGCCATGGCCGCTGAGCCTGCGCGTCTGGAGCCTGGAGGCCGCAACAGTGAGAGGCCCGCGTAACGCAAAAAAAAAAAAAAAAAAAATTTTTGTACAGTAAGTTCCCTACATATAAACGAGTTCTGTTCCAAGAGCGCGTTTGTAAGTCCAGTTTGTTCTTAAGTCCAACAGAGTTAGCCTAGGTACCCAGCTAACACAATTGGCTATATAGTACTGTATTGTAATAGGTTTATAATACTTTTCACACAAATAATACATAAAAAAACAAGCACAACAAATAAAACATTTTTAATCTTTCAGTACACTACCTTAAAAAGTACGGTAGTCCAGTACAACAGCTGGCACACAGGGGCTGGCATCGAGTGGACAGGCAAGAAGAGTTACTGACTGGAGGAGGGAGAGGAGGTGGGAGATGGTAGAGCTGAAGGGTCGTCAGCAACAGGAGATGGAGCGCAAGCTGCCATTTCACTCATGGCTGACGCTGATGGCACAGGTTCTGGCTCCTTGCTGGATTCAATTCTGTCTACCCTCTTGAAGAGACGATCTAGTGATGTCTGGGTAGTACTGTACCAGCTACATCACCACTGCTTTTGTGCTTGCTTCTGGACATCCTGGGCTTGAAATAGAGATACCGTACTACTGTATTCTATACAGTACTGTACAGTAAAGTACACAAAAGCACAACCACTTGTAGAGGATGCACACATGTGACCATGTTTGCCAGACACGTGAACTAACTTCCATGACTGGACGTGTGAACACACGTTCGCATCTTTGAAAGTTCACAGCTTGGAGGTTTGTATATAGGGGACTTACTGTATTCCTAATAATAACTTGGTTACTGTGGCTTGTGAGTTTGGTTGATCACTCATCATTCTTAACCGTGAACTCCAAATAAAGTGTGCCATGACTGCTTTACAGATCAGGTGGCTGTGGATAACCTGGCATGGAGTTAGTAACAGAGGTAATCTCATAGCCAGCTGTAACCCATGCCATTGATTCCACCCATTGTTTCTAGGAAATGCAGATCTGATTGTAATGCTTGTTACAAGTGATTGTGGTGTTTGCTTCTTCCTAGGAGTGAAACTGACCCTGTCAGCTCTAATCGATGGAAAGAACTTCAATGCAGGAGGGCACAAGGTCGGGCTGGGATTTGAACTAGAAGCTTAATGTGGTTTTGAATAGAGCATCAGCTTTGTCCCTGGAGGTGAAGAGAAGTCAACCCACTATGTTTTGGCCTTAAAATTCTTCTGTGAGATTTCAAAGGTGTGAACTTCTTATTCTTCCAAAGAATTGTAATCCTCCTCACACAGAAGCCTAGATATCGAGTCCAGCCTAAGGGAGGTGTGCCTGAAGGCATGCCCGGAAGTTGTCATGTTCGTGCCACGTTTCAGTTCAGTTCTGCAGTGTTATTTTCAATGTGTTGCTCAGCGACAGTGTAGTGTCATGTTACAAAGGAGATGACCCGACCCTCCAGTTGTCCATCACGTCCTGCATGTCCCACACCACTTTTTCATGACCTTGTAATATATCGGTCTCTGCGGTAGTGGAATCTTTCGTTTTGCATCAGAGTAAAATAAAATAAATCCATCACATTTGGAACATAATTGGTCATCTCACTTGCCAGTGCTGGTTTCTTATATTTGGCGTGATTGATTTTGTTGTGAAAAGCACTCACCCGTGGGATGTGTGTCTGAATCATCTGTGCTGCCGCCCGTCCCCGCTCTCCTGCTGCTCTTCTGCGGTCAGGCCGCGTTGTCAGACGGCGCGCTTTGTTCTGGGGGTTAGAAGCACATCTGCCGAGGTCCTTGCCACCTGTTGCAGTGTGAGAGACTGTATCCTGTTGGTAGTTTTGTAAAGCTGCTGAGGGACAGTGAGCGTGTGAGTGGATGAAAAGAGGGCAAAGGAAAGAGGACAACTGGGGGAAATGCTGCCAGGGAGAGGCTGGTGGGAGGGGTCACAGCTGGATGGGGTGCATCCATGGCCCCCCCGGGCCTCAGGACAACGCTTTTGATGACTAGATCTAGAAGAGTGATGGCCAGAGGATGGAAATACCAGTTTAGAAAAGAAATGAGTAGACTATGATGTCTTCAGGGCTTACTGGTAAATCATCTTTCTAAGAGTAGAGCTCCTTTTGAAAATCTTTTTTTTTTTTTTAACAAAATATGTGCCGGTTGCTACAGATTCAGTCAATGTAGACATAAATAAAAGTGAAAATTCCCATTCCTCTCTCCAGTCCCTCCTTCTTCCACTGCCACTAATAGTTTGACATGTGTCCTTGTGATATTTTTCAGTGTCTTTAGAGATTATATAAATATCTATCTATATAAAATGTTAAAATGCATATCTTGTCTTGCAACATACTTACAAAGTTAACAGCAGAGTCCTCTGTTTGTATAAATATCCCTCATATTTTTAATTTTTGCACTTTTGTATAAATGTGGCATTTGTTTATTCCGCTTTTTCCTATATCCAGTCTGCTTTACAGAGAGCGCTGCCTTGAGTATCTCTGTCCGTTTGTCTTTCTCCACTTCCGTGCGTATTCCCATGGCAGCACTGCCCAGTAGAACTTGCTGTGATGATGAAAATGAGGTATGTCTGCACTGTCCCACACGGCAGCCACTAGCCACGCGAAGCTGTTGAGCACTTGAAATGTAAGTAGGTCAGTGGAAGAACTCAGTTTCTAATTCTGTTTCATTTAAATTACTTTTAAAATTGAATAGCCACATGTACAGTAGGGGCTGTTGTATGAGAGGTGCAGGTCTACAGGATCGGTTTCTGGAAGTGAGATTGCTGAGTCATAGGTTGTGCACATTAGATAAGTAGTACAAAATCGCCCTTCAGAAATTTGTGCCAATCTGTTTCTACCAGTGGTGGTGAAGAGTACCCATCTCCCCATATCCGCAAAAACGCTGAATGTTATCAGACTTCAAGATTTTTACCAGTTTTAGAGGTGAAAAATGATACCTTGCTTTAACTGCATCGCCCTAATGGCCAGTGAGATAGAGCTGTTTTCGTATGTTTACTAATCATTTACAATTCTCTGATTTGCCTATCCAAGTTCCTTGCTCAGCTTCCAAATGAGTCATCTTAAAAACAACTGGACACGATTGCTTTTGGAAAATTTCCGTGCTGCAAGGTATTTCCCTACCACCACCAAAGATTATGTTTACTAGAATCCAAATTCCAACCACCACTTCTTAGGTCAGAAGATATCTGTGATACCAGCCACATGATACAGTTTTATCTTCTCACTGTCTTTGTGGGTTGAGCCACCATTACAGGAGATTAAGTATAACAGAAAAGGAAAAGGGAATGAGGGGCGTAAACAACAAATTCATTGTGTTGTTGACACCTGTATCTTACAGGGAGAACTCTGTGCAGACTGAACGGGGATGGGATGCTGGGCTGGGCTGGCAGCTGCACCGGGAGCTCCTCGGGTTAGAGGGGTGTGGCTGTGGACATGTCTCTTCAGTCTGGTGGTGTTTAGGGGCGGTGGATGGAAATGGGGCTGGGGCATGAGGAGGTGCAAGGAAATGCTGCTGAGATACTCCCCTAATTAACTGCTTCGTTACTTACCTGTGAGGTTGGTTGTACTTACGGCCTGAGTTAGATGGGAAGGCGATTGCTGTAGGTCGGTGCTTTATCCTTCCTTGTGCTTCCCTTTTAAGTAACGTGTTCTTACAGAGCTAAAGAGCCATACTTTGTGTTGATCCAATACCCAGACATGAGCGTAGGGACGTGAAGTTCAGCCTTTATTCCGCAGTTTTACTGACTCATATTGCTGGCTGGGCTGTGTTCTGAGTACCCTCGTCATTACATTGTAGCAGAAAGGAAAGCACATTTCTTGAGCTTCTGTGCCAGGCCCTGTCCTGGTCACCTACGTGACGTAATCTGCTGGCTGCTCACACAAACAGCTTGGAGTGCAGTCGCCCGGGAGTGGAAGCCATGCCAGGGGTCCTGGGACAGAGGTCTTCCTTGTGGTTTCGCATGTGGAAATTCTCAGTACTAGCTCTTCTCTCCTGTAAAATGCACCTGAGCAATTGCCCCCTCCGCTGCCGCCTCCGTCTCTCCAGTTCAGCCTTGTAACTCCTATGGCCGCTCATTTATTTGATCTTATTTAATTTGAAAAATGGATCCATTCAGGACCCTGCTGGGATCCTCATTCTTGAGCCTTACCCTCAAGGTAGCTTATTTGCCCTTCAGTGCAGCCTGGGAGCAGAGGACCAACATTCCGGTTTAGACACATCTTATGTCAGGTGGTTCTTTGATTCGGTGGCTCCATGCCTGGGAATTTGCCTTAAGGAAATCATCAGAGATGCACACAGATTGATGTACAGGGTTTCTAACTGCAGTGTTCTTTATAATAGAGACATTCTTAACTGTTCAAATGGGGATGATGAAATGAACGGGGAATGATGGTATGTCTCTCCATTAAGTGGAATATTACTCAGCCATTAAAAATCATGTTTTTGAGGAGTAAGAATCATTGAGGATTGTTCACAATGTTACACAGAGAAAGCGAGGTAAAAAACTAATCTGTTTTATTTAAGAAAAATGTTTATGCAAATATAGGAGAAAATACTCCAGAATATTAATGTTCATTACCTCAGGAAGGTGGAATCATAACTAATTTTTATTTGTTTTATGTTTTACTACAATTTTTCTGGTTTTCTAAAGTGAATTTGTTATTTCTGTAACCAGGGGCAAGCTCTTCTAATCAATGTTATTGTGAAAAAGGCAGAGGGCTCCTCGCGGGCCACAGCAGGCAGCGTATCTGGCAGTGGTGAGTGCGTTCAGGGCTCAGCAGAGGACGCGCCCCCCGGTCCCAGGGTCCGCGAGGCTGGCCATCAGCGAAGGCAGGAAACACCAGAGGCTCCTGCTTGCTCCCCTTGGGAAAGTTACCCAGACAGAGACATTGAGCAACGTGTTGGTGTTGCTCGTGATGAGAAACTCATAGGCATGAGGTTTTTATTAGATTTTGTAAGAAGAGGTGGAAGTTCACACACCATATTTTAAATATTAATTCCCTCTGCAAGAGACTGTGCGTCGCTAATCCATCATCATAGTCTGAGCGTAACTGCTCAAAGGGCAGAGGGCAGTCAATGTCCTGAAGCTTCATTTAGTTATTACTAAGTGTCTGTGCTTGGAAGCTCACTGCCAACTTGGCCAGGCTCAGGTTCTAGAACCTGGGACAGAAGGAGCCCTGAGAGAGAGCCGGGGCTGTTTGTGGGCGCCCCCTCCGTGTTCTCTGCACGCACATGCACGTGGAGCCCCCTTTCCCTTTAAGCCCACAGCTCTGTGTGCTCTTGGGTCAGTTCCCTCGGCCTCTTCCCCTTTAGAAACAGCACCCCTGTTCTTTTTTCTTTTTTTTCTAACATCTTTATTGGAGTATAGTTGCTTTACAATGGTGTGTTAGTTTCTGCTTTATAACAAAGTGAATCAGTTATACATATACATATATCCCCATATCTCCTTCTTGCGTCTCCCTCCCTCCCACCCTCCCTATCGCACCCCTCTAGGTGGTCACAGAGCACCGAGCTGATCTCCCTGTGCTGTGTGGCTGCTTCCCACTAGCTATCTACCTTACATTTGGTAGTGTATGTATGTTCATGCCTCTGTCTCGCTTTGTCACAGCTTACCCTTCCCCCTCCCCATATCCTCTAGTAGGTCTGTGCCTTTATTCCTGTCTTGCCCCTAGGTTCTTCATGACCTTTTTTTTTTTTCCCTTAGATTCCATATATACGTGTTAGCATACGGTATTTGTTTTTCTCTTTCTGACTTCACTCTGTATTACAGACTCTAGGTCCATCCACCTCATTACAAGTAACTCAATTTAGTTTCTTTTTATGGCTGAGTAATATTCCATTGTATATATGTGCCACATCTTCTTTATCCATTCATCTGTTGATGGACACTTAGGTTGCTTCCATGTCTGGGCTATTGTAAATAGAGCCGCAACGAACATCGTGGTACATGACTCTTTTTGAATTATGGTTTTCTCCGGGTATATGCCCAGTAATGGGATTGCTGGGTCATATGATAGTTTTTAAGGAACCTCCATACTGTTCTCCATAGTGGCTGTATCAATTTACATTCCCACCAACAGTGCAAGAGGGTTCCCTTTTCTCCACACCTTCTCCAGCATTTATTGTTTGTAGATATTTTGATGATGGCCATTCTGACCCGTGTGAGATGATATCTCATTGTAGTTTTTTTTTTGTTTTTTTTTTTTGCGGTACGCGGGCCTCTCACTGTCGTGGCCTCTCCCATTGCAGAGCACAGGCTCCGGACGCGCAGGCTTAGCAGCCATGGCTCACGGGCCCAGCTGCTCCACGGCATGTGGGATCCTCCCGGACCGGGGCACAAACCCGTGTCCCCTGCATCGGCAGGCGGACTCTCAACCACTGCGCCACCAGGGAAGCCCTCATTGTAGTTTTGATTTGCATTTCTCTAATGATTAACGATTTTGAGCATTCTTTCATGTGTTTGTTGGCAATCTGTATATCTTCTTTGGAGAAATGTCTATTTAATTTGTATGGAAACACAAAAGACCCTGAATAGCCAAAGCAATCTTGAGAATGAAAAACGGAGCTGGAGGAATCAGACTCCCTGACTT